CATAGGAGCAGCCAGTCATCCAGAGCAAGCATGATAAAGCGTCTCGCTTGTTGACACAACCACTAGTGGACAGATTAGTCCATTTCTCAGCTTCCTCTTCCATAGGAAGTGGAGTGATCAGATTGACTGTAAAACACTTATCGACACTTGAGTGAGTTTAATGTACAAAAGATGACTCAAATCGTCAAGAACCGTTTATATATGTTTATATATGTTTAAGTGTAAACAGATTATTTAGATGAAACTTTAGAACAAACCAAAAGAACATGAATTTCTTCTGGCAACAACCAGATAATGATACCAGGCCCTCACATCTTTTCCTTTGTCTATTGCAGACACACCGATGAGAATAACGAACATTGACCTTTATATATGTTGCTTGAGGAAGAGAATATATACTAGAGATTGTCATGAGATCAATAAAATTAGGCCATACCCTTCACCAACTGCTACATGTATGTTCTCTAACCTGTAGAATTGGTTGTAGATTGAGGTAATATTTGCTAGGTTATCTGACCCAATGGTTCAGGATGACCTATAAGCCACTATGTTACATCTGTCATCATGCGCCATCCACTGTGTGTAAACTTTCTATTCAAATGACTTCTTCTTAATACCCAAAAGGTCCAGGATGCTGATATTTGGCCTGTAGCATGATGGAATGAAGGGTTACCAAGATTGTTAAAAATGAATGACCTTGACTTACTTTCAAGATCATAGGGGTAAAATATGTTAAAATCTTTAAACAATTTATTCTCAATAATTATAAGGTCAAGGGTGCTGATAACAGGCTTGAAGCATGCTAGGATGTAGGACTAACAAGTTTGTTGATATGAATGACTTTGACCCACTTTCAAGGTCACAGGTGTCAAATGTGTTATAATGTTTAAAAACCAAAAGGCCTAGATTGCTTATATTGGGCCTGTAACATGATGGGATGAAGGACTACCAAGTCTGTTAAAATGGATGACCATGACTCATACTTTCAAAGTCAAGATGTCAAATACATTGTAAGTGAAATATTTTAAACAACATTTTCTCAACGACCAAAAGGCCCATGGAGCTGATATTATGAATGTTGCTTGCTGGAATTAAGGCCTATCAAATTTATGCAAATGATTGACCTTGACCTACTTTCAAGGTAACAGGTCTCAAATATGTCAAAATTTTCAGACAACTAAAATGTCCAGGTTGTTGATATTGCCCCTGTAGCATCCTGGGATTAAGGTTTATAAAGTTTGTTGTATTGAATGACCTTGACCCATTTTCAATGTCACAGGGGACAAACGTGTAAAAATCTTTTAAACAACTTCTTCTCAATAACTAAAAGCCCCAGAGTGCAGATATGCTGGGATGAAAGGGTTATCAATTTTGTTCATTAGATTGACCTTTTGTTTTCAAAGGTCACATGGGTCAATGTATTAAAATCTTTTAAACAACTTTCAATAATCAGAAAGTCCAAGCTGTTGATATTGGTTCTTTAATATAAGTGGATGAAGGGCTACCAATTTATAAAAATAATAGATGTTGACCTATATTCAAGATCTCTGGGGTCAAAAGTTGCATGCTTTTTCAACAAGCAATATGTCTGAAGTAATGGCATTTAATAGACAAAATGGCAAAGAATATGATTTAAAGTTACAGAAAATGTCTTCATGAACCAACAATGCTTTCTATGTAAGGTGTAGAGTAGTTGAGCAATTTATTTTAGGTCCATTTGGCTTCTTTTATATATACATTGTAGGTCTTTATAGTCGAATAGGCCTCTTGTTATGGATATTGTGATGTTTAGAATAATCAGATCAACCTCAACATTTAAACAGCACAGGTGGTTGGAAGACAGAAAGAAATGAAAGTACTGACAGTGTTGTGCTTAATCAGCTAAGTGATTATTTGGCCTTGTTTATTATGTTCTAAATGTTGAGGAATGATGAATGGACAATTGGCCTCTCCTGGATGACATTTTTATATAAGCATAAATGTAACAAAATACTTTTAAAAAACAAGTTGCCAAGTCCTTTAATATCCTTTTCAGATATACTGATATTTGTTGTGCATGTCAACCATATTTGAATAATTTATCTTTATACTGCACTTTGACTGTTGTGAATTTTCCATTTCTAGGTAGTAACAATCCTTTTTTGCAACCTGGTGATTACATACAATTGTACAACAATTTATCCGATATTCTAGGGGTTATTCCCAATAACTTGATTTCTAGGAAACATGTCGACATGTGACAGATAAACTCAGTGTTTTCATTGATGCAGTTTAATGAAGATGCTCTATGGTTATGATGTAATCATAACCTTGATCATTGAGAAATCCTCTGATATTCAGTAATTGATTTACCTGAAGGTTTTGTATGCTCATCTGCTCAAGGGACAAGTGAGCTCTGCTGTGGTGTCATGTTTGTTCTGCTTCAAGTATTTACTTTAAAACATTTTCTTTTCTATAAGAATTACGAGGCCCAGGGTAATTATACTTGGTTAGTCTACTGAATCATGAAGAAAACTAGGGCCATTGTACTTGACCTGTGGCATGTTGTAATGCAGGACAACCAAATTGAGGGTTGTGATTTTAAGCTAGTAGGATCCTGGAATGAAAGGATAGCAAGTTTGTTTAAATGAATTATCTTGACCCACTTATTTAGGAATATATACGAAACTAAAAATGTGTAAAAAAATGTTTAAATGACAAAAAGCCTCTGGGTGTTCTAATGAAGTTCAGCATGCTGGAGTGATATCAAGTTTGCTCAAATGAATGACAGTAATCCATGTCCTATGTCAAAATTTGTATGTCTGTATGTCAATTGGTGGTGACCGCATCAGTCTCTGAATGTCATAATAATCTCTGGTGACCTCATCAATCCATTTGACCTCATCAGTCTCTGAATGTCATAATAATCTCTGGTGACCTCATCAATCCATTTGACCTCATCAGTCTCTGAATGTCATAATAATCTCTGGTGACCTCATCAATCCATTTGACCTCATCAGTCTCTGAATGTCATAATAATCTCTGGTGACCTCATCAATCCATATGACCTCATCAGTCTCTGAATGTCATAATAATCTCTGGTGACCTCATCAATCCATTCAACCTCATCAGTCTCTGAATGTCATAATAATCTCTGGTGACCTCATCAATCCATTCAACCTCATCAGTCTCTGAATGTCATAATAATCTCTGGTGACCTCATCAATCCATTTGACCTCATCAGTCTCTGAATGTCATAATAATCTCTGGTGACCTCATCAATCCATTTGACCTCATCAGTCTCTGAATGTCATAATAATCTCTGGTGACCTCATTAATCCATTTGACCTCATCAGTCTCTGAATGTCATAATAATCTCTGGTGACCTCATCAATCCATATGACCTCATCAGTCTCTGAATGTCATAATAATCTCTGGTGACCTCATCAATCCATTCAACCTCATCAGTCTCTGAATGTCATAATAATCTCTGGTGACCTCATCAATCCATTCGACCTCATCAGTCTCTGAATGTCATAATAATCTCTGGTGACCTCATCAATCCATTCAACCTCATCAGTCTCTGAATGTCATAATAATCTCTGGTGACCTCATCAATCCATTCAACCTCATCAGTCTCTGAATGTCATAATAATCTCTGGTGACCTCATCAATCCATTTGACCTCATCAGTCTCTGAATGTCATAATAATCTCTGGTGACCTCATCAATCCATTTGACCTCATCAGTCTCTGAATGTCATAATAATCTCTGGTGACCTCATCAATCCATTTGACCTCATCAGTCTCTGAATGTCATAATAATCTCTTGTGACATCATCAATATCTACATGTCTTATTAGTTTCTGTTAACTTCATTCATCTTTGCATGTTTTGGCACTGTTAACGTGGTGCAGGCATCGGGAAATGAAAACTGAAAGAACAGAATACAAAACGATGATGATGTGTATTTACAAGGCAGAACTTTGGAGATAAGACTCGCTCACAAACACACACTCACTCACTCCCAAAATAAAGAAATACAAATGTTTATGTAGCTTCACAAACACGGCGATGGTGACCCAGCTAATAATGTGCAGACATCTAAACAGAGTTAACACAACAGTCGCTAACCCGCTACCCAGCTCAATCCAGAGCCACAGGTAAAAATACCACTTCGAGCAGTATCATGCTCATATACACCATAATTGGAGTAAGTACTGTGTCCACAACACGACAACAAACCTCAGTGGTTGAAGAATACTCCAAAGCACAGCATGATAATTCCCGCATAGACGGACGGCTGTCCTTGACCCTTGCGAAAGGTGATCATTTTGGTCGGTACTGATGCCTGAGCAATACTGTGTGGAAAGCACTTGCCGGTTACACATTTCCGCCCAACACCAGTGCCTAATTATGTAACTTACCGCAGTAATGATGATAAAAACGAAGATACATATAAACAATCAATTTGATATATACTATCAACAATATATATGCTTCTCTGACTGGCACTATCAAGGGACTTCACCTATATCTGAATATCTTATTACCCTCTTTTAAACTCAATAATCTGTGATGACCTCACCAATGTCTGCAGTCTGAATAATCTCTGGTGACCATCAATCTCTGTAAGTCATAATCTCTGGTGACCATCAATCTCTGTAAGTCATAATCTCTGGTGACCATCAATCTCTGTATGTCATAATCTCTTGTGACCATCAATCTCTGTAAGTCATAATCTCTGGTGACCATTAATCTCTGTAAGTCATAATCTCTGGTGACCATCAATCTCTGTATGTCATAATCTCTGGTGACCATCAATCTCTGTATGTCATAATCTCTGGTGACCATCAATCTCTGTATGTTTTGTTATTTCTCATGGTCTGAAAAATCTCTGCTGATTTATCTCTGCCAGTCTCCAACATCTGCAGATCTATAAAGGCCTACCAATCTTTACTATTTTTACCATTTAATCATTCTCTATTTTTACACACTGATAATAAAAACAAAACTTTAGGTGTTCATGTATTTTATGATATTTTATTACACAAACTGATGTGGATACAGTGATAAAAATCAACCAATATCTTACTGATAACACAACTACAATGTCTTATACAGTGAATGATGTTGACTGGAATTAATGCTAATACTACATGATACACAATACAACACTTTCCAGTGATATTTTCTTGTTGTAGGGATTACTGTTTATTGGCATTCTGTGCAAAATTTACAGAGTATCCACCAGTGTTTGGGTCCTGGTTCAGCTGGAAATTATCAGTAGACAAGCCGAAGGGTTTCAGTATCATGTTTCCAAGATCCTTCAGCTTACCTGGAAATGAGAATATAGACTGAGTACAGTCAAACTTGCATGAAGGAGCACCTTTTAATAGCTGACACCTGTTTACAAAATGAGGGCCAGGGGCCTTAAGGGTCATCTGATAATAAAGACCTATATATGAAAGAGGCCAAGTAGGCCTAAAATAAATTGCCCAACAACACTACACCTTACTTAGAAGACATTGATTAATTCAGAAAGACATTTCCTACAAACTTTAAATCATATTGTTTATAAATGGACTATACAGATGCCATTACTTCGGACATATTGCTTGTTGAAAAATCATGCCACATTTGACCCCAGAAATGTTGAATATAGGTCAACGTCTATCATTTTTATAAATTGGTAGCCCTTCATCCACTTATGTTAAAGAACCAATATCAACAGCTTGGACTTTCTGATTATTAAAAGTTGTTTAAAGATTTTAATACAGTTGGCTCATGTGACCTTTAAAAAGAAAAGGTCAATCCCATGAACAAAATTGATAACCCCTTCATCCCAGCATGCCTGCACTCTGGGCCTTTTGGTTATTGACAAGAAGTTGTTTAAAGATTTTTACACATTTGTCCCCTATGACATTGAAAATGGATCAAGATCGTTCATATTAACAACTTTATGAACCTTCATCCCAGAATGCTAGTGGGGTACCATTAACACCATGGACATTTAAGTTGCTTGTTTAAATAGCATGCTACATACCCAATATCAAGACCCTTGGCATTTTGGTTATTGAGAAGAAGTTGCTTATGCACTTCAAGAAAATTGACTCCTGTGACCATGACAGTAGATCAAAGTGAACAAATTTGGTAGCCCTTCATCCCAGATCCCTCAATCAAGGAAATTCATTTTAACAACTTGCTAACCCCTCATCCCAGCAAGCTAAAGGCCAAATATCAGTACCATTGGTTTTGTGATTATTGAGAAGATTTGTATAAAGATTTTGACATATCTGACACCTTTGACATTGAAAGTAGGTCAAGGTCAGTAATATAAACAAACTTTGTAGCCCTACATCGCAGCATACAACACGCCCAACATCAGCACCCTGGGTCATTTTGTTATTGAGAAGGAGTCGTTCAAAGATTTTAAGATATTTGACCCCAGTGACCTTGTAATTGTGTCAAGGTCATTCACTTCATGAAATTTGATGGCCCTGCATTCCGTCATGCTACAGGCTCACTATCAGCAGTCAGGGCCTTTTTGTTATTGAGAAGAAGTCATCTAAAGCTTATAACATATTTAACAACTGTGATCGGTCAAGGTCATTCATATTATCAAACTTGGTAGCCCTACCACCTAGAATGCTACAGGCCTAATATCAGTACCCTGGGCATTTTGGTTATTGTGAAGAAGCTGTTTAAATTTTAACATATTTGACCCCTGTGACCTTGGGTTATTGAGGAGAAGTCATCTGAATGGAAAGTTTATGCCATTTGTTGGTCCTCAAATGCATTTTATGAAACAAAATCACTATCATCTCTCTATTTTGGGTAAAATCCATAGCAAGCTACAAGTATAAAATGATACAATTATGAATGTCTCCTTAAGTTCATTTATATTCACTTGTAATCAACAAGATAGATCACCAATGTGACATGTATCAACACTTTAATATCCACTTCCCTGAAACAAAATGTCTTGTAACTATGCTATAGTCTTTGCTTATGCATGTAAGGTTTCACAATTTCCTGATCTTAGATGTCAGTTAAAGTACATCTAAATTTTAAGCCACACCAAAGACTTTTAATTGCTTTTAGGAAAAAACTGAACAAAAAAATTGCATTTTCTCATTCATAGTTCCCGATATTTATCTGAAAATCTCTGTTTGCAATTACAAATTTTGAAAATATGCTGTCTACTTTTTACATAAATTTATAAACCAAACCACTATTCAGTCTTGCCATTGATAAGAATGTCAGGAAAAGAAATGTAAGTACATTCTAAAAATAGATCTACCAACCTGTCCATGATTTTTCTATAGCTATCTATTGGATTAAACTGTGCAGTGTATGGTTTATTGACTTTTAAACAAAGAGCACAACATTTTTTTTAAAACAATGTGTAGTTTATTATGACATACAAGTCTCCATCAGTTTACTGTAAATATGCCTTCTCCACAATTACTTCTAAAAGCACTCTATCATTACCTGTGCACTAATATGTCAGAGTTACGAGGATAAAAATCCTCTGTAATGAGAAGATACATTGTATGTTGAACTTCCAGTGCATCCTCTCAAGTCCAAGAATGTTCCCAACCTGTTAGAGATCAATAACTCGAAACTCTAATTCTCAACATATATATAGCCATGCTTGCTTACTTTACAAAACTGTGTTGATTTTCACTGTAGTTAATACAATACCAATGGCATTACCTACCCATCATTTCTGCTTTCATTTTCTCATTCCTTTCCTTTATTTGATCTGGCAATCTCTGAAAACGCAAACAGATACAAGTATACATTTTGAACTATAGCAATAGTTAACATATTGAGCATGTACAAACCCTTCTGAGATCTGAAAATAAGAAAATTATTTATTGACAGATAAAAAAAAATGTACTCTTAACTTCAAGAAGACCAAAATGTTAGTTGGTATAAAAATCACAGTAGTAGACCACTCACCATGTAAACAGCTTCCTTATCAAACTGATACAGCCCAGAAAGATACAAAGAGGCAGTTTGATGGAAGTAATAGTTGTACAATGTATAATAAGTCTAGTCAACAGCTACACTTCAGACATCATAAAATCAAGATTTATAAGTATCAATCTATTACTCGACAAAAACAGTATATAGAGGTGGTCTCTCCAAAGAACTGTTTCATTCAGAGGAGTGGAAGTCTTTCGAGACAGTGCAGAGTACTGTCAGAAGAAATGTATATGTGATTTACAATTTTGGTTATATAATTCAATTATCTTGTTATATTGGTATCTATATAGTCTGTCATTTTCAAGTTCAATCATTTCCTAATTCAACCATTATCAGGCAAAATAAGACTTTCTGATTTCACATAAACCGAATGTGATTAAATATGAAGTGTATCACTCCAGACTGCTTTTACTCTACTGGCCAACTGCTACGTACCATACAGGCAACTCTGGCTAAGTGTTGACCAGGGTCAAGTTCCAGCACTTTCTGGTAGTCAACTAGAGCCTCGTCTAATTTATCCTCTCCTTCGTACAGTTCAGCACGCCTCAGCAAAGCCTTCAGGTAGTGTGGGTGGAGATTTAGGGCACGACTGCAGTCTTTGATAGCATCCTCCTTGTGATCCTTATCATAAAGTCAAATTGATGTACTTACTGAAGGGTACTTTTCAATGGTACAGAAAAACATTTCATGATTAGACTATGGCAATCGAGAAAGTTAAACAGGAAGCCCAAAATGATTTCATACATATTTCTTACATACAACTTAACAACATATATGTAACTAACTGTTGGTGGAGATATAATAACTGCTAAGAGAAACCAGAAGATGACCAAATTGCAGCTCACCAGTTTAACTTTACAGACAGCTCTATTGGAAAACATTATAGCTCTGTCTTTTGGAAAGCTCAGCGGACATATATGAAGGGCTCTTGTGTAGCAACGTATCGCTTCCTTGTAGCTTTGATCCTTAAACAATTTGTTTCCTTCTTCTTTACAGCACTGTGCTTCCTTATGTTTTTCCTGTTGAAATAATTTAAACACCATTCTACATAATCTAATTTGTAGTAATGATGCTGTTTTACTATATATACAATATATATATAAGTTACAAAGATATCCTAAGTGTTTCAAAAGTTTTGCAGTCTAATGTGGTTAGTAACTTCTATTAAGAAACCAAACTGAAGTCTCTTCTAGATCTACCAACTACCTTTGCGAGAAAAACCTAACCATTCAAGTATGATATTTAAGTGATCTGCATGCTGCAGGCTTGAATCCTTGGGTCTGCATATAGACTTATCATCAGTTGTATCCATGTCCTTACTGAGGCAGGTAAATTGTGGGGAAAAATACTTTTATGTTTGCATTGAAATTAGACTACAGATCAGTCCAATGATCTATCATGTAGATTATGTCACCATGGGGATAGTTTTGTTTTCAATACCAATTGATGATTCATGAATTGTAGCAAGGATATAGTAAGTGTTCATATAGGCTAGAAAAGAAACAAAAATGTGCACGATTCCAACTTCAATTACCCCCTTTTCTTCCTCTGTCAATTTTTCTTCCAGTTGCTTTAACTCCTCTTCATTAGCCTCGCCTTCTTCCGCTGATTCATAGTTCTCATCTTCTTCACTGTCAGAATCTTCATTTTCAAGACCTTTATCTACGTTCACTTCTGTGTTTAATGCATTCCGGCTGTCTTTTGAAAGTTCATCACAGAAATCAAACTCATTCATATCAACATCATTTGATGCATCAGTTTCTTTTTGTGAAGACAATATTTGACTAGTTATATCAAATGATCCATTTGTGTTGATATCTGAGAAGCTGGCAGTTATGTCGTCCATATCATTGTTATCTGTGACTTGAATGCCACGTTTCTCTATATCGTCATTGTCCTCCACCTGTACAGATTTTCTATCTGTTCGGGAATGTCTCAAATCAACGTATTTTCCATCCGCTTCCTTCTCGCATAAATGGTGCAATGTTGTTGTAGTCTTTGTATTGTATCCATCTGTTTCCTGAACACCAGAGCAAACTACCGTATCGAAAGAATCGTGAAACTGTTCCTCCAATTTAACGTCAGACAACGACGATTCGTCATCACTGACATCGGACTCCCTTTCCACTTGACGAACCACAGTACCGACTTCTTCAACAGGATTCGACATCTTTATACGTTGATTACGGTTAACAAATATAAATTAATAAGTCATTTTAAACAGCAGGCTGCCATGATCCAGTCAACAACAGCAAACAAACAGGATCGTCATCCTAGAACTTTCGTTTCCAACAATTCAGTGTCAAATCACTGCTTGCTTACAAAACCATTATTTTGTAATCCTTGTAAAACTTTCCCCTGACCACGGCAATAATCAACCAAACTAAAGTTGAGTACGCCTACAGTGATGAATTTCCGGCTTTGTCATTTCCGGATAATTATTTTCTATACCAGAATATATAATGTCATATATACATATTATTTAAAGATAATAGCAATAAGAATTACTCTTTATTTGAAACACGACTTCTGAATAAATTATTTGATATATATATGTTGATGTGTAATGGCACACGAGGTAAATATTACATCCGCCATAGATTGTTTCTTTCATTACTGCTCTATATTTATCCAGCCGGATTGTGATGGCTCGTACTTTGTACAGCATCAGGAAGACACTGTTTTCAAAACACACAAACATTGTCAGCAGTGTTTTACAGTGTCACTTCCATTCTTCTGGAATTATGAGCTCTAAAGTTGCTGTGGTAATGCCTGCAGAACCCATGATATGGTTATATTGTGTTGTCCTTACGTGCCCTTGCAGATATAGGATAAAAGAAAAAAAACATAGTGTCGAATATATTTAACATGAACAGAAGTTCCAAGGAGCTTCAATTGTATTTCGACAAGTTCCTAGGAGCTTCCATTGTATTTCGACAAACATATTTCGACTATTCATTGTGCATTGTTCATCGCTCTGAAGAACAGTTATAACTCCGAATGTAAAAAATGTAAAGAAAGACACGTGAACAGTTTAACCAGTTTTCTTGCATTTGTGTAATTACCAGTTCTAGCGCTACATCATACTAAACAATAATTATATAAGTAGTGTACCACCACTGCTATTCATAACTGAAACAATATTATGAGAGATCATTTATAGGTTATATAGTGGATCCAGGTCGTGGTGCTAAGTTTACTTGTGATTTATCCAAAAACATCCATATGTATTTTGTTTGGTAACTAGGTAATTATTTCTCAACCTACAAAATGTACTTGACAGATTTCAACAAAAAAGTTGGCTGTATATCTAGAAAATCAAGAGCAAACGTAATCCAAATAATGTAGTTTTACCTAGGTCTTTTTGAATTAGATATATGATCTTCACTTCATAACAAGATTCAAAAGTATGATTTGTTTTCTCATTTATCCAAAATTATTATCTTACAGTGTATTTTCATGCATCAATAATTCAATTTTCTAAAAAAAAAAAAATGGTCATTGAGCATTTATTTTAGCACAGTTTTAACAAAATGATTTATAAACTAAGGCAAAATGTATTGAGGCATGACTCATTGCACCAAAAATGAATGAAGCTTGTTAGCCTTTGGTCAAAATTACAAAAATTACCTAGACCAGTAGCAACACTAAGTCTGACAGTAGTAATAAATTATAATGATGTACATTCACACTTATCCTGCCAACCTCCCCCCCCCCCCCAACTCCCCATTTTTCCATATTGCTTAGGTATTATTGTGATTTTATATATTAACTTTCTTACAGATATCTGTTGCAGTTCAATGTGTAAGCCTGTAAAACCAGCACTAGATGAGTAATGATAAAGGGCCATAATAATCATTTATTGCATCAAGCTATGAAATATGTTTATTAACAAACACTTTTGGCTTGATTGCTAATGATCAGCATTGTTACTGGCAGAAATATCTTAGTATCATTGTAAATAACCCACAGATTCTCAGGATTTAAATACAGATTTTCTTCACCAAATTGAATTTTTTTTTTGCCATCATGATTTGTCTGTCGTCGTCCGTCGTGCGTTGTTAACTTTTCACATTTGCGACTTCTTCTCAAGAACCACTTGATGGATTTCAACAAAACTTGGCACAAAGTATCCCTATGGTAAGATGCATCAAGTTTGCGAAAGAAAAGGGTGTGGCTCCAATAGGGGCTACAGGAGGGGGCAAAAAAGGGGTAAAATTAGGTAAATCTTTAAAAAATCTTCTTCTTATGAACCAAGTATCAGATTTTCCTAAAATTCAAAATTAATGATTCTTAGAGCAAGGTCTACAAAGTTTGCGAATTAGAAAAAAATTGGGTCATAAACAGGCCCTCCAGGGGGCACTAAAAAGGGGTCAAAATTCAAAGTTGATGGATTTCAACCAAATTAAGTATTTAGCATCTGTGTAATAAGACACATTTAGTTTGGGAAAAAAAAAAAAGTAATGGCTGCAATAGGGGCCCCAGGTGGGGGTAAAAAAGGAGTAAAATTAGGTAAAGTAAGCTTCTTTAAGTTTACAATAGAAAAAGGTGTGGCCTCAATGGGAGCATATTTAAGGGGCAGAAAGGGGTAGAATTTGTTAAATCTTCGCAAATCTTGTTGTCCTGAACCAAAAGTGTAACTTCATATAGATGATCTTTAGGGAACGGACTGCAAAGTTTGTGAGAATAAAGATAACTGGTCCAAAATTAGCCCTTCTGATATTTGTTACATATTAATCCTTAATAAAAACATGTTGTGTGTTTATGACAACCATATAGATGAGAAAAAATGTGTAGCCAGATATTTCATCAAATCCAGATCTTATTACTCCCTGAACCTTCTATGTTCTGAGCTACATTTATAATATGGTTCAATACCTGTGGTAACACTACATTTCTCAGCCTTGATACATATATATTCCGGTCTCAGAAGTACCACAAGATTTTTTCACATTGTTTTATGTGAGTTTGTTTAGTTGGATGCCTTATTGTATTAGGCAAGGAAAAGATTGTGGATAGACTTGAAATTGTATACTTTAGCTATACATGTATCTACTAAGCTATATTTCAACTTGTAAATGAAAAACGTGATTTGCTTTATATAAATGTGCAGCCCTGGCCTTTGTTTGGCTAAGACATTTTGGACTTCCTCTCAAGAACCACTGGGTGGATCATGTTCGAACTTGGTACAGATGTTTTACACATGGTCCTGCACAAGTGTTGTTACATTTTTGCTACATTTTGAAATCCCCAGATTATTGACATATATTCCTAAGGTGACCGTTAAGGCCCCTTGGGCCTCTTGTCTATTTGTCTTGTCATGATCACGAATCATTGGCACAATTAACACATGTTCAAATTTTTCTTTGGCCTCTGTTTAGTATTGTCTTTTGGGGTCTCTAGTTTTGGTATTTGTCTGGACTTTGAAATCTCTAGGTTCTAAACCTTGTCAAGTCAAGTCTACTTAACCTTGCAATCATGAAAACATACAAGATACAATATTTGATATTGTAAACTCTGCATGGTTATTTCCTGTTGATAGGTTTTGTCAGGTTGTGGGGTGTATGATGGAACTGAAGTCCATGAAGCATCAGCGTAAGTATGGTCATGCTTTGATTTTATCATGGTGGGTTATTCTTATTGCCCATCAGTCCATAGACTGTCCATATATCCTTAAATTATTGTTATGTTTTGTTTTTGAGAATTGCTGGAGTATCATTTTCATATTCCATATGTAGTGTTATCTTGGTCCTTAGTTGTTCATTGTCCCATTTTAAAACTGATCTGAAAAGAAGATGACCACCTGATTTTAACTTTGATAATTTGTTATTTCAAGAGAAGTATTAGATAGATCAATCTCAAATTTCATATGTATGTTCATGTTTGTCCCTAGTTGTGAATGTTTTTAGACTGGTCTGAAAATTAATATGATCAACAGGCAGTCATCTTTGAATTTGATAGCTATAGTTTATTATCACTATTTCTGCTGAAGTGTTTGATGGACAATTCTAAAATTTCATATTTAGATACACCCTACAGGTTCCAAATAGTGCATAATCCATTTTCAGACTGATAGGAAAAACAAGATAGTATGGAATGGATGTTTCCAATATTTCATGTGTATGTTCCCCTTGGTTCCTTGTAGTGCCCCCCCCCCTTTTTTTTTTATTTTGGAACAGATCATAAAACAAAATGCCTGGAAAGTGGCCATTTTGGATATATAATAATGGCTTGTTATTGCTTTTTCTTGGGTAGTACTCAATGGACCTTTCTTAGATTTCATATCTAGGTTCCCCTTGGTCCCTAGTTGTGTCTTTTTGATTTTGGGACTAGTTATAAAAACAAGATGCGAGTTAGAATTTGATATTTTAAGATTGTTATCACTCAGTACTTCCTGACTATACCTCATACATTCATTTGTCTGTGGAGACAATATCACATTCTGAAATTGGATTTGAACTTCAGTCAGTTCTGCTGTACAAAGTTATTGCCTTTTGTGTGCATTTTTGATACCAGAGTTTGATTGGAGCATATCTTTACTGCTAGTTCACTGTACTCAAGGTATACTCATTTACAAGGTAAATGTCATTTTCTTGAAACTGTTCATGTATACATGTTATACAACAATATTTTATTTTCATGTAGAACAAAATAATAGAGACAAATTGAATGTTGGCCATGATAGTGAATACAGGAACAAAATTTTACAGCTTGAAAAGAATCAATTTCATTGACTTTTTCAGAACTTTAGTCCATTTGAGCCGTGGAGGAGCAGAGGTGTCCATGTTTGCTCCAGATGTGGATCAGATGCATGTTATAGACCATACCAAAGGGGAACCAATGGACACCAAGAGGTATGTGCTTTTTAGATATAAACTGAATAGAAAACCGGAGATAAAGGGAATATTTTACTTGGAGTTCCCAGATGATAAAACTTTTATGCTTTTATTACAATATGAAGCAGGATCACTTACCTAGCATGCTATTCATTATTATCAACTTTTTAAAAATTATCGTGATTAAGATTGCTTTTATTCGAACCTTGCATCTACATAAATGTGCATTTGTAGACCTGTCATTGACAAACTTCTCAAAACAAGATATTTCAGTCTTCTCTTTCTAGTAGATTTTTTTTTTATAGAAAATGTGACATTAGTATTAGTAAGAGGTAAGAAGATTTTACAGATAATCAATATGTCTAATACAGGGATTAAAAGCCAGAAGTATTGCTCCTGAATGATAGTGATATACAGAACATGTAACATATAGGGGAGATAGTGATATACAGAACATGTAACATGTAGGGGGGATAATGATATAAAGAACATGTAACGTATAGGGGAGATAGTGATATACAGAACATGTAACATGTAGGGGAGATAATGATATAAAGAACATGTAACATGTAGGGGAGATAATGATATATAGAACATGTAACATGTAGGGGAGATAATGATATATAGTGCATGTAACATGTAGGGGAGATAATGATATATAGAACATGTAACATGTAGGGGAGATAATGATATATAAAACATGTAACATGTAGGGGAGATAATGATATATATTACATGTAACATGTAGGGGAGATAATGATATATAGAACATGTAAAATGTGGGGGAGATAATTATATATTTTACATATAGGGGAGATAATGATATATAGAACATGTAACATGTAGGGGGAGATAATGATATATAGAACATGTAACATGTAGGGGAGATAATGATATATAGAACATGTAACATGTAGGGGAGATAATGATATATAGTACATGTAGGGGAGATAATGATATATAGAACATGTAACATGTAGGGGAGATAATGATATATAGAACATGTAACATGTAGGGGAGATAATGATATATAGAACATGTAACATGTAGGGGAGATAATAATATATAGAACATGTAACATGTAGGGGAGATAATGATATATAGTACATGTAGGGGAGATAATGATATATAGAACATGTAACATGTAGGGGAGATAATGATATATAGAACATGTAACATGTAGGGGAGATAATGATATATAGTACATGTAGGGGAGATAATGATATATAGAACATGTAACATGTAGGGGAGATAATGATATATAGAACATGTAACATGTAGGGGAGATAATGATATATAGAACATGTAGGGGAGATAATGATATATAGAACATGTAACATGTAGGGGAGATAATGATATATAGAACATGTAACATGTAGGGGAGATAATGATATATAGAACATGTAACATGTAGGGGAGATAATGATATATAGAACATGTAGCATGTAGGGGAGATAATGATATATAGAACATGTAACATGTAGGGGAGATAATGATATATAGTACATGTAGGGGAGATAATGATATATAGAACATGTAACATGTAGGGGAGATAATGATATATAGAACATGTAACATGTAGGGGAGAAAATGATATATAAAATATGTAACATGTAGGGGAGATAATGATATATAAAATATGTAACATGTAGGGGAGATAATGATATAAAGAACATGTAACATGTAGGGGAGAAAATGATATATAGAACATGTAACATGTAGGGGAGAAAATGATATATAAAATATGTAACATGTAGGGGAGATAATGATATATAGAACATGTAAAATGTGGGGGAGATAATGATATATAGTACATATAGGGGAGATAATGATATATAGAACATGTAACATGTAGGGGGAGATAATGATATATAAAATATGTAACATGTAGGGGAGATAATGATATATAAAATATGTAACATGTTGGGGAGATAATGATATAAAGAACATGTAACATGTAGGGGAGAAAATGATATATAGAACATGTAAAATGTGGGGGAGATAATGATATATAGTACATATAGGGGAGATAATGATATATAGAACATGTAACATGTAGGGGAGAAAATGATATATAAAATATGTAACATGTAGGGGAGATAATGATATATAAAATATGTAACATGTAGGGGAGATAATGATATAAATAACATGTAACATGTAGGGGAGAAAATGATATATAGAACATGTAACATGTAGGGGAGAAAATTATATATAAAAAATGTAACATGTAGGGGAGATAATGATATATAGAACATGTAAAATGTAGGGGAGATAATGATATATAAAATATGTAACATGTAGGGGAGATAATGATATATAGAACATGTAACATGTAGGGGAGATAATGATATATAGTACATGTAGGGGAGATAATGATATATAGAAGATGTAACATGTAGGGGAGATAATGATATATAGAACATGTAAAATGTAGGGGAGATAATGATATATAAAACATGTAACGTGTAGGGGAGATAATGATATATAGAACATGTAACATGTAGGGGAGATATTGATATATAGAACATGTAACATGTAGGGGAGATATTGATATATAGAACATGTAACATGTAGGGGAGATAATGATTTACAGTAAATGTAACATGTAGGGGAGATATTGATATATAGAACATGTAACATGTAGGGGAGATATTGATATATAGAACATGTAACATGTAGGGGAGATAATGATTTACAGTAAATGTAACATGTAGGGGAGATAATGATATATAGAACATGTAACATGTAGGGGAGATAATGATATATAGAACATGTAACATGTAGGGGAGATAATGATATATAGTACATGTAACATGTACTTGAATTAAGGGAAATAATATTTCCATTAATTAGAACATCTCTTTCCATCAGAAATGTACTGGTAGAATCTGCAAGAATAGCCAGAGGGAAAATTGATGCTTTATCAAACTTAGATTCCTCCAAATTTGATGCTGTCATCCTACCTGGTGGATTTGGAGCTGCCAAAAATTTGTGAGCTGTACTCTTTGTTATTTCTTATCTAATATATCTAAATTTTACAAGTGTACGAAATTTATGAGATTCCAATGTAAATCTTGTCAGTTTTGTACTCTCATTAAAAGAATGGAAAATCAGGCTGTATAATAAGACTTCAACATACACATAAGATCAAATAAAAATTCTTACAAAAGCTGCCTCTGTCAACACTATGAAGTGAATTGATCAAAATCAAAGGTGAGATTTAAGCCACATGACAAAATGCAGAGGGCAAAGCTGAAGGTCCCTTGTAATCTTTTATAGGTCATTTCTTTCATCATTGTGCGCCATGTGCTGTTGACGATCTGCCATGCATAAACTTTTCATTCAAATGACTTCTTTTCAATAACAAGAAGGCTCAGGGTACTGATAATTGGGCCTGTAGCATGATGGGATGAAGGACTACAAACTTTGTGAATATAAATGACCTTGATGTACTTTCATGGTCACAGGGGTCAAATATGTCAAAATCTTTAAACAACTTCTTCTCAATAACAAAATGGCCCATGGTGCTGGTATTGAGTCTGTAGCATGATAAGATGAAGGAATACAAACTATGTTAACATGAATGACATATTATACCTGCTTGTAAGGTCAAAGGTGTCAAATATTTTTAAACAACATCTCCTAGATAACCAAAAGGCACATGGAGCTTACATTTGGACTGTAGCATGCTGGAATAAATGGTTTTTAAATTTTGTTAATATGAATGACCTTGACCTACTTTCAATGTTACAAGAGGCAAATATGTTAAAATCTTTAAAGAACTTCTCAATAACCAAAAGGCCAAGAGTCTTGATATTGAGCCTGTAGTTTGCTTTTTTTAACAAGCAATATGTCCGAAGTAATGGAATTTGTGTTGTGCATGTATAAAAACTATGCATGTTTACAGAAAATGTCTTTAGGAACAAACCAATGTCTTCTATGTAAAGTTGTAGTGTATTTTAGCAGTTCATTTTAGGCCTATTTGGTCTCTTTCATGTTTAGGTCTTTAAAGTCAGATGACCCCTAAATCCCACTGGCCTCTTGTTGTTAACATTATAATGAAACAGTTGAATGAATTTCAATGCTTATAATCATTTGATTAAGGGTCAATGGTCAGGGTGAAATTTTCTAGTTTTTGTTAGAAAAATATTTTGTTTTTATATTAGGAAATAGAGATGACCAAAATCAAATGAGGAATAATTGAGTGCCAAATGTTAGTATCTTTATATCAAATGAAAAAGGTTTAATCAAGTAATAATTAATATCTTTAAGTCATTAGAAGGAAATTGTTGAAGAATCACTTGTTCTAAACCTCAAGGTTTTCAAGACAAGTATCAAGCTGTAGTATAAAAAAATCACGAAATAACTCAGCATATTTACTTAAATAAAGAGAGGCATAATTTTCATTACAGTTCTTGCATATGTTATGTTCCATTTCATAGGTGTACATTTGCAGTAGATGGAGCTGGTGGTATGAAGGTTGAGAAGGATGTTCAAAGAGTTATAGCAGACTTCCACAAGGAGAGCAAACCCATTGGGTATGATGAAAAACATTTCAAATTTGTCAGGTCTGGTAAAATGAAGTAGTTTAGATAAAGCCCAGTAAGTAATATTTGTATCTGGTAATGCTTCATGTGGTAATGCCCCTGTCCTGACTGTATGATGGAAGTGCAGGTTTATGTTTCAGACTGTGTTGTATCGCCCCTGTCCTGGCTGTATGATGGAAGTGCAGGTTTATGTTTCAGACTGTGTTGTATCGCCCCTGTCCTGGCTGTATGATGGAAGTGCAGGTTTATGTTTCAGACTGTGTTGTATCGCCCCTGTCCTGGCTGTATGATGGAAGTGCAGGTTTATGTTTCAGACTGTGTTGTATCGCCCCTGTCCTGGCTGTATGATGGAAGTGCAGGTTTATGTTTCAGACTGTGTTGTATCGCCCCTGTCCTGGCTGTATGATGGAAGTGCAGGTTTATGTTTCAGACTGTGTTGTATCGCCCCTGTCCTGGCTGTATGATGGAAGTGCAGGTTTATGTTTCAGACTGTGTTGTATCGCCCTTGTCCTGGCTGTATGATGGAAGTGCAGGTTTATGTTTTAGACTGTGTTGTACCTGACTGTATGATGGAAGTGCAGGTTTATGTTTCAGACTGTGTTGTATCGCCCCTGTCCTGGCTGTATGGTGGAAGTGCAGGTTTATGTTTCAGACTGTGTTGTATCGCCCCTGTCCTGGCTGTATGATGGAAGTGCAGGTTTATGTTTCAGACTGTGTTGTATCGCCCCTGTCCTGGCTGTATGATGGAAGTGCAGGTTTATGTTTCAGACTGTGTTGTATCGCCCTTGTCCTGGCTGTATGATGGAAGTGGACTGTGTTGTATGACTGTATGATGGAAGTGCAGGTTTATGTTTCAGACTGTGTTGTATCGCCCCTGTCCTGGCTGTATGATGGAAGTGCAGGTTTATGTTTCAGACTGTGTTGTTTCAGATCGCCCCTGTCCTGGCTGTATGATGGAAGTGCAGGTTTATGTTTCAGACTGTGTTGTATCGCCCCTGTCCTGACTGTATGATGGAAGTGCAGGTTTATGTTTCAGACTGTGTTGTAGCCCCTGTCCTGGCTGTATGGTGGAAGTGCAGGTTTATGTTTCAGACTGTGTTGTATCGCCCCTGTCCTGGCTGTATGATGGAAGTGCAGATTTATGTTTCAGACTGTGTTGTATCGCCCCTGTCCTGACTGTATGGTGGAAGTGCAGGTTTATGTTTCAGACTGTGTTGTATCGCCCCTGTCCTGGCTGTATGGTGGAAGTGCAGGTTTATGTTTCAGACTGTGTGGAAGTGCAGGTTTATGTTTCAGACTGTGTTGTATCGCCCCTTTCCTGACTGTATGATGGAAGTGCAGGTTGATGTTTCAGACTGTGTTGTATCGCCCCCTGTCCTGGCTGTATGATGGAAGTGCAGGTTTATGTTTCAGACTGTGTTGTACCTGACTGTATGATGGAAGTGCAGGTTTATGTTTCAGACTGTGTTGTATCGCCCCTGTCCTGGCTGTATGATGGAAGTGCAGGTTTATGTTTCAGACTGTGTTGTACCTGGCTGTATGATGGAAGTGCAGGTTTATGTTTCAGACTGTGTTGTATCGCCCCTGTCCTGGCTGTATGATGGAAGTGCAGGTTTATGTTTCAGACTGTGTTGTATCGCCCCTGTCCTGGCTGTATGATGGAAGTGCAGGTTTATGTTTCAGACTGTGTTGTACCTGACTGTATGATGGAAGTGCAGGTTTATGTTTCAGACTGTGTTGTATCGCCCCCTGTCCTGGCTGTATGGTGGAAGTGCAGGTTTATGTTTCAGACTGTGTTGTATCGCCCCTGTCCTGACTGTATGGTGGAAGTGCAGGTTTATGTTTCAGACTGTGTTGTATCGCCCCTTTCCTGACTGTATGATGGAAGTGCAGGTTGATGTTTCAGACTGTGTTGTATCGCCCCCTGTCCTGGCTGTATGATGGAAGTGCAGGTTTATGTTTCAGACTGTGTTGTACCTGAGTGTATGTTGGAAGTTCAGGTTTATGTTTCAGAATGTGTTGTCGCCCCCTGCCCTGGCTGTATGGTGGAAGTGCAGGTTTATGTTTCAGACTGTGTTGTATCGCCCCTGTCCTGGCTGTATGATGGAAGTGCAGGTTTATGTTTCAGACTGTGTTGTATCGCCCCTGTCCTGACTGTATGGTGGAAGTGCAGGTTTATGTTTCAGACTGTGTTGTATCGCCCCTGTCCTGGCTGTATGGTGGAAGTGCAGGTTTATGTTTCAGACTGTGTTGTATCGCCCCTGTCCTGACTGTATGATGGAAGTGCAGGTTTATGTTTCAGACTGTGTTGTATTGCCCCCTGTCCTGGCTGTATGATGGAAGTGCAGGTTTATGTTTTAGACTGTGTGGTATCACCCCTGTCCTGGCTGTATGATGGAAGTGTAGGTTTATGTTTCAGACTGTGTTGTATCGCCCCTGTCCTGGCTGTATGATGGAAGTGCAGATTTATGTTTCAGACTGTGTTGTATCGCCCCTGTCCTGACTGTATGGTGGAAGTGCAGGTTTATGTTTCAGACTGTGTTGTATCGCCCCTGTCCTGGCTGTATGGTGGAAGTGCAGGTTTATGTTTCAGACTGTGTTGTATCGCCCCTGTCCTGACTGTATGGTGGAAGTGCAGGTTTATGTTTCAGACTGTGTTGTATCGCCCCTGTCCTGACTGTATGATGGAAGTGCAGGTTAATGTTTCAGACTGTGTTGTATCGCCCCCTGTCCTGGCTGTATGATGGAAGTGCAGGTTTATGTTTCAGACTGTGTTGTACCTGACTGTATGATGGAAGTGCAGGTTTATGTTTCAGACTGTGTTGTATCGCCCCTGTCCTGACTGTATGATGGAAGTGCAGGTTTATGTTTCAGACTGTGTTGTATTGCCCCCTGTCCTGGCTGTATGATGGAAGTGCAGGTTTATGTCTTAGACTGTGTGGTATCGCCCCTGTCCTGGCTGTATGATGGAAGTGTAGGTTTATGTTTCAGACTGTGTTGTATCGTCCCTGTCCTGACTGTATGATGGAAGTGCAGGTTTATGTTTTTGACTGTGTTGTATCACCCCTGTCCTGGCTGTATGATGGAAGTGCAGGTTTATGTTTCAGACTGTGTTGTACCTGACTGTATGGTGGAAGTGCAGGTTTATGTTTCAGACTGTTGTATCGCCCCTGTCCTGATTGTATGATGGAAGTGCAGGTTTATGTTTCAGACTGTGTTGTATCGCTCCTGTCCTGGCAGCAAAGCTGGTGCCAGGTTGTGAAGTGACTGTAGGATCAGATCAGGAGGAAGGAGGGCGTTGGCCGTATGCAGGAACAGCTGGTGCTATAGACTCGATGGGATCCAAACACATCAAGAAAAATGTCACTGTATCCTTTTACTGTACTGTACCAACTGTGGTAGTTGTTTTTTTTTTAACATTGGTAGTCCTGATTTGAATAAGGCCCAACAGCCATGTATGTAACAGTTTGTGGTCAGTGTTATAACATTTCCTTCTTAATACACAGGAATTTTAAAATGTTTAAATATTCAGCTCTTAAAATTGATTGATCAAGATTTTACTTTACCACTTTCCAATAACTAATTGTTATTCACTGACCCAGTGTTCCAATGGAAGCCTTGAGAAAAATCAAATGTCTGCATCATAGTGTTTGTATATCTGATGTTTTATCCCTCAAAATGGGAAGATCTTTCATGATAGTGTGGTACAAATAAATATGTTGTACCTATTCATCAGCAGTATTGGTGACCCTCATACTTTATGATCACTCTAGCGATTTTCCCTTAACTCTAACCAGGATTTTCATGTGGATGAGAAGAATAAGATAGTAACTACACCAGCCTTCATGTGTGAAACCGGTCTCCATGAAATTTTTGATGGTATCGGGAAAATGGTAGAAAATGTTCTATCTTTGGCCAACACTAAAAGCAAAATATAGAAGAGGCATGCATGTAAATTAAGATCAACGTTGGGAGTATAAACACATCTACCTAGAGACAATGCACTAGACATCAATATGTGGTGCACAAAACTATCCTTTATATTACTACATTGTGTAATCTTGTCCAGAGAAAAAGGATTTAAAAATCAACCGGCATTGGTCCTTCTTCTGCACTCTCAGTCACAACCAGCTGGAATATTGGGTTGGACAGTTGGACTACATGTAGCTGTATTACTAACAAGACTGTACTGTCTTATGATTTTGTGTAACAACATTTCACAACTTGTATTTGACACAGGTTTAGCTAACAAAGATAGAATCATGCCTTACAATATACTTCAGTTTTACAATTTTTTCCTTATACTGCTATCATACTACTAAACTTTAACAACTTTTATATTGAGATGTACACAAGATCTGATGTTTTTCAGATGTCCATGAAAAACTTAAGAAATGAAGGAATGTTGAATATGCTAGTGTATACAATAATTAATAAAGTTGTGGTGGAGATTGATCATTGTTTGGTATACTTTGCAATACATCAAAAACATTTTCTCTGTACAAGAGTTTATTTCATTTATTTCATACAGTAATTTAGTTTTATATAAAGTCAACTAAGTAAAAGATTAATTGTTGTATAAACATGAAGTACTTTTAATGGTGATATATATATATATCACCTCATTAGAATCAATGCCCCACCCCCCAATCCCCAGGTCCTTCATCCTCTTCATTCACCATCATATTCTTTTCAAGAGTTAAATATGAAAATATAAACATAAAGTATGCATTCATCAGACTTCATCATTATTTCTATTTGCTTTAGAATCAGTGTTGTAGGTTAATACTTCCATCTCCAGGAATTTGAGCCAGGTCTGTCTTGTCCATTGCACAATTTTGCTCCTCTAGTTTGATCAGGCTTCCTATCTGCTTTGATAAAGCATGTAATGACTGTTGAAAAGTTATAGTATACCCACAGTTACATAACTACTACTACTTTCACGGAGATCCTTCTTCTGCCACTTTGTGAACTTTGTTGATTCTTCCAATGAGAATATTTTCCTTTTCCCGAAGTTTTGCTGCAATGTCACTCTGAAAAGAAAAATTAATGTGATAGTTTCCTGTGATTTTGCTTCTTATGCAAGTATTATTCCAATGACTTAATATGCACATTAAAGCAAAACAAGAATACCAAGAGTGCAGTGAGGAATAATATATGCCTTTCCCATGCTGAAAGAGAAATATGTTGTAGTATTGTAGTAGTGAATAGAGATATGGAAATGAAACAAAAACTGCAAAAGGAAAATGGCACGTTGAAAGCAAAGTTGAATGGGAGTGCTAATAATCATGTTATTGTGATTTGGTAACAGCATACAAAGTTTTAAGTAGATCAGTTGGGATCAGAAGTAGATCTCCAGATAAGAATCAAATGAAAAAAAAAAAAAAATAAATAAAAACAGAAAAAAAGAATCATTGAATCAAACTTCCTAACTTCCAAACTTTGCAAGGGTCAGGATGACCTATAGCCATCATGTTTCGTTTGTCTTCATGCATAAACTTTCCATTCAAATGACTTCTTCTCAATAACCAATATACCCAGTGTGCTGATATTTGGCCAGTAGCATGACTGGATGAAAGGCTACCAAGCTTGTTTAAGGAAAGACCTTGACCAACTTTGAGGGTCACAAGGGTCAAATATGTAAAAATCGTTGACTTCTCAATAACAATCAAAAGGCCAAGGGTGCTGATATTGGGCTTGTAGCATGCTAGAATGATGGGCTATCAAGTTCGTTAATTTTATTAAACCTTGACGTACTTTTAAGGTCACAGGGGTCAAATGTGCTGAAGTCTTAAAACAATTTTTTAATTAATAACCAAAAGGGCCAGGGTGCTGATAATGGGCCTGTAGCATAATGGGATTAATGGCTACCAAAAGTGTTGAAATAAATGTCCTTGACATGCTTTCAAGGCCACAGAGGTCAAATGAGATTGTAAAATTTCATTTTCAACAAGTTATATGTCCAGAGTCATGATATTTTTGTTGTTGCAGAAAATATTTTTATGAACTGACAAAGCCTTCTTTTTAAGCTGTAGAATAGTTGAGCAGTTTAGGTCTATTTGGCCTCTTTCATATATAGATCTGACTGTTAAGGACCATAGGCCTCTTATTAAGTTTGCATGATTAATGTATATATCACATTTCATTATCCTAGTTGAAATGTTGGCAAAGTTTTGCTCCAAAATTTTAACAAAGGGCAATTAGATTGCAATTATGAGGTTGCAGGCCCTAACATTGTCATTTTCATGGAGCAAAAAAACAGTTGATTATTCAAATTTTCCATAAATGACTAACCCTCATGGGTTAAGTGGCACACCACCATTCAGTACTGATTATGTTTACCTGTGATGGGTCTAGTGACACACAGCCATTCAGTACTGATGTTTACCTGTGATTTTTCTAGTGACACACAGCCATTCAGCACTGACAATGTTTACCTGTGATCGGTCTAGTGACACACAGCCATTCAGTACTGACAATGTTTACCTGTGATGTATCTAGTGACACACAGCCATTCAGTACTGACAATGTTTACCTGTGATGTATCTAGTGACACACCCATTCAGTACTGACAATGTTTACCTGTGATGTGTCTAGTGATACACATCAATTCAGTACTGACAATGTTTACCTGTGATGGGTCTGATGACACACAGCCATTCAGCACTGACAATGTTTACCTGTGATCGGTCTAGTGACACACAGCCATTCAGTACTGACAATGTTTACCTGTGATGTATCTAGTGACACACAGCCATTCAGTACTGACAATGTTTACCTGTGATGTATCTAGTAACACACCCATTCAGTACTGACAATGTTTACCTGTGATGTGTCTAGTGATACACATCAATTCAGTACTGACAATGTTTACCTGTGATGGGTCTGATGACACACAGCCATTCAGTACTGATAATGTTTACTGTGATGGGTCTGATGACACACAGCCATTCAGTACTGACAATGTTTACCTGTGAGGGGTCTGACGACACACAGCCATTCATTACCGACAATGTTTACCTGTGATGGGTCTGATGACACACATCAATTCAGTACTGACAATGTTTACCTGTGATGTATCTAGTGACAAATGGCCATTCAGTACTGACAATGTTTACCTCTGATGGGTGTGATGACACACAGCCATTCAGTACTGATAATGTTTACCTGTGATGGGTCTGATGACACACAGCCATTCAGCACTGACAATGTTTACCTGTGATCAGTCTAGTGACACACAGCCATTCAGTACTGACAATGTTTACCTGTGATGTATCTAGTGACACACCCATTCAGTACTGACAATGTTTACCTGTGATGTATCTAGTGACACACCCATTCAGTACTGACAATGTTTACCTGTGATGTGTCTAGTGATACACATCAATTCAGTACTGACAATGTTTACCTGTGATGGGTCTGATGACACACAGCCATTCAGTACTGATAATGTTTACTGTGATGGGTCTGATGACACACAGCCATTCAGTACTGACAATGTTTACCTGTGAGGGGTCTGACGACACACAGCCATTCAGTACCGACAATGTTTACCTGTGATGGGTCTGATGACACACATCAATTCAGTACTGACAATGTTTACCTGTGATGTATCTAGTGACAAATGGCCATTCAGTACTGACAATGTTTACCTCTGATGGGTCTGACGACACACAGCCATTCAGTACTGACAATGTTTACCTGTGATGTGTCTTATGACACACAGCCATTCAGTACTGACAATGTTTACCTCTGATGGGTCTGACGACACACAGCCATTCAGTACTGACAATGTTTACCTGTGATGTATCTAGTAGCACACCACCATTCAGTACTGACAATGTTTACCTGTGATGTGTCTAGTGACACAAAGCCATTCAGTATTGACAATGTTTACCTGTGATGGGTGTGATGACACACAGCCATTCAGTACTGACAATGTTTACCTGTGATGTATCTAGTGACACACAGCCATTCAGTATTGACAATGTTTACCTGTGATGGGTGTGATGACACACAGCCATTCAGTACTGATAATGTTTACCTGTGATGGGTGTGATGACACACAGCCATTCAGTACTGATAATGTTTACCTGTGATGGGTCTGATGACACACAGCCATTCAGTACTGACAATGTTTACCTGTGAGGGGTCTGACGACACACAGCCATTCAGTACCGACAATGTTTACCTGTGATGGGTCTGATGACACACATCAATTCTGTACTGACAATGTTTACCTGTGATGGGTCTGATGACACACAGCCATTCAGTTCTGACAATGTTTTACTTGTGATGGGTCTGATGACATACAGCCATTCAGTACTGACGTTTACCTGTAATGGGTGTGATGACACACACCCATTCAGTAATGACAATGTTTACCTGTAACGGGTCCAGTAGCTCTTTTGCTACACTCTCTATGACCTGTCGTACATCATCTACTGTGAGTTCAGAGAAAATGTCTGTGTCCAATTTAGTCTCCAAGTCCTCCATTGCTTTGTCTCCTTCATCCACCTGAAATTGATCAATATCTTTCAAATATATGTAAAAAAAAAAAAATTAAGATGCCTTTCTCAATCTTCATTCAAGAATTTTGAATCACTTTAAAGACCACACAAGCGTATAGATATTCACAGAGGTATGTCCCTAAGTCATTGTGAACTTCCATACAGAATAAGTTTATTGTAAGGCCATTAATGTTTAACCATTAATAAAGATTAACCTTGTTTGTAAATAGCTCTGTTAATTCCCTGAACAACATTGTCACGCTTACTGATTACACAATCCTAGGTTTATCTGTTCACTATTCCCCAGAAATAACACCTATCATGTTAAATACATAGTTCACTTCATTAGAATATGTAATAGCAATTTGATTAAGAAGATGCACACTTGTAGATCTGTATAACTGTATATCACTTAGAACTGCTTGTTTCATGGCTTCTTTTTAGTTATTTAGATTACCAGGTAATTTCATAAACATTAAATTTAATCAAATGCAAAATGATGATTTTTTTACAAGTGTGTAATGCAGTTAGGATATGGGGCAATACAATATCATACATGTTAAAGGGAGACCCTTAGACACTTTATGTGCAGAGATAAATGCATGTATTTCTCATTAACACAAAAATGACAAAGCTGGTTTCCAAGCCATAAACAGGAAATCAGACATGTTGTCATCTTAATTGGTTGAAATAGTATTTTTTTTCAACAGGATTTGGCAACATGTGCTTCAAACTAAGGTTTGTAAAGAAACATTTTATCCAATTAATGGGTCGGTCATTCTCATTCTGTGCTGTGTTCCAGCAACCACCTGATTACATATGCAGGTTTTTGCTTTGTTTTTTTAACCACATTTAACTTCCACACACAACACCATAAAGTACTTGCTGATAGAATGTGCTGTAATCTGAATAAAGTAGCTGTATAACATTACATCTTTACTTTTTCCTCAGGTTAAATAAGTGAAAGAATACATACATTTGATTTTAAAAATGGTTAATGTGGAGGTAACATTATGTGATAAAAAATATTAGTAAACAACAAAGATATGGGTCTATGGGTAAATGTTAGTAAAATGTTAGTAAAACAGTTCAGTCAAAAGGCAAAAGAAAACTTTAAAAATTAGTCAAATTTTCACAAACATTTTAAAAGTCCCTGAAAATATACATCAAACTCACAATTTTTGCACATGAAAACAAATGTAAATAATTTTGACGGAGAGAAGATGTGATCATAAGTCAGAATATATCCTACACAAAGTTTATCATACTAAACCACAGTTGGCATTTAGGTCAACCATTGGATTTTTGTGGAGAGCTGATTATCAATCCCATTATTTTCATATACTCTGAAATTGAGGATTTATGTTGTGACATATAAGATAAGGCGTTCCGACCAGCCAGGGATGGCTTGTTATGCAATACATCTTACAGTGTTCAACAGGGATGTCAGAAGGATATGTTAGGAAATGAAAATTTGCAGAAATGGATGAGGAAGTAAATGAATATAGAGGGAGTCTAATATGACCTAACAAGGTCTAGTTTTACTATAAAGTAGGGAAGTAACTTCTATAAAGAGTATTTAAGTGCTGATCATATCTTCTACAAGATACTACTGTTCATTTCATTCAATTTTTCAATGGAAAGCAATATAAAAGAGACTGCTAGCCCATCCACATATCACTTCAATGTACTAAGTGTTTGTCACTGTGAGCAAAACCTTCTTCTGCAGCTTAGATTTTGGTTATGTGTCAGTCTCAATGAGTGAAGTGAATTTTTCAACATACATTTATATACATATGGACATTTTGTGTATGAATTATACAGTTCATGGTGTATCAGTACAGGGTCATCAATGATTCATTGACTAACCTTGATTTGATCTTTAGTCACAGAGTTACATGTAGGCTGGGTCCAGAACAAATGAAATGTGGATAGGCTGATGAGCTTAGCTTTTTAACAGGAACTAAACAGAGCTATATAAGCATCTTACCTCTCCTGCAAAACCACCTTCACTTTTAACTACCTGCTTAATGGTGAGAGGATATAACATATGGAGACCAGCAATGATATTGAAGATCTACATACCTACAGGTTTATTGTCAATAGGATTTTAGTTTTTAATGTTCACAAAAAATGGAGAAAAGTTGTCAGATCACATACATTCATTTGGATAAAAAATAAATCTGGAAGTTGAATATTTAGAGTTTTTATTGTAAATCAGTTCTAGAATATCAATTCCGTACCAGTCTATTTCTCAATGTAGGCCTTTTTCAATGTTTTTCAATGGTAAAATAACTTGCCATTACCTTACGGTCATTCGCGAGGATTTCATGTAAATTACAGGAATCAGATACACTTTCTGAACTTCATGGAATTACATATCCAATGGAAGGAGATGGTTGCAGTTGTTTGAAGCCTGTCCACCACTGATTATTTACATCTATGGTTTTAGTGTGTTAACTATGATTATTTTAAACACTTCCATCCAGTATGATCATTATCATTTAAAGTGCCAATCTGTCCCATCTACATCTAGTGCTCACCAGCAAACAACAACATCAGGGTTGTAAGATTTCATTTCACAGAACCATATACTTTTTTTTTTTTAGTACTGTAATGGTTGGTATTTAATAAAACCATATACTGTAAATGTTGGTATTTCACAGAACAATATACTGTAATGGTTGGTATTTAATAGAACCATTCACTGTAAAGGCTTGAATTTTACAGAACTTGTATACACTTAAAAGGTTGGTATTTTATAGAACCATACACTGTAAAGGCTAGAATTTTACAGAACCATACACTTAAAAGGTTGGTATTTCACAGAAATATACACTGTTAAGTTTGGTATTTAATAGAACCATTCACTGTAAAGGCTAGAATTTTATAGAACCATACACTAAAATGGTTGGTATTTCATAGAACCATACACTAAAATGGTTGGTATTTCATAGAACCATACACTAAAATGGTTGGTATTTCATAGAACCATACACTAAAATGGTTGGTATTTCATAGAACCATACACTAAAATGGTTGGTATTTCATAGAACCATACACTAAAATGGTTGGTATATTCAAGGATTCCATTTTTTCACAAGGATGGATTAAAATATTTAAAACAGAAATAAAGACCAAAAAAATTTATGACTTGGTAATTTACAATGTTTCACGAATTCTAATTGAAACATACATGTGCATCCTTTTCATAAAGGTTATCAGAAGATTGAAAATTTGAACCAAGGAAGAAAACAACGTTTAAAGAATACCGTCATAAATTTTTGAAACTAGATATAAATGTAGATTTCTGTTTAATGGTGATGAAGTGATGGACTACAAATTCAACAGTGTTTTAGGTATCTTTGTACCAAATTCTACATCCTGCTAATTATTGTATGTCATATGTCACACATGTGTGGATGGTAAGGTGTAAAAGTACCTCAGGTTCTGGTGTAGGGGGAGGAGTAGCTATATAGGAGGCAAACATCTCCTCGGACACGCCTTCATCCAGGGGTGGGGGAAAGGGTACACTCGCAGGCTTGGCTGTCTCTATCTCCAACTGTAGAACATAACAGACAATAGATGTACTAGTAAAACAGGTTTCCTGGTAATGGTTTGTAAACATTTCTAAATGATAAACCTATAGTTCAGAACTTCAGATATATAAATGCATACTTGAAGGCAAATACTGACAGTATTGTATGCTGATTACTTCTGATTAAAATATGATATGTAGAGTGTTAGATGATAATGATCCATGTTAAACAACAGTGATAATGGCTGTATATAGTCTTAGCAGATGTTGTATTAAACACTTTAATAATGTGACTACAATATTAACAGCATATTCAAGAATCACATGAAATACAACAGGTCAATCATAAAACAAATGGAGCAGTAAGTTACTCTTCTGAAGCTTCAAATTAATGTAGAAGACATATAACACATGGCATATTATATAAGATACATATCTGTACTTACATCAGTACCAATGATTTCCTCAGCTTGGGTTTGAGTAAACATTAATTCATACAGCTTATAGTGTTGAAAAAGACTGAAAAACAAAACCAAAAAAACAATTTAGTCGTAACATTTCTAAGTAACTTTTAGGCTTTACAAATGAACAGTATTCATATATATGCTACTACAAGTGATATTGAATATAAATGTGAAAAACTTGTTTTTTTAACTCTTAATCTTGTCTAAAGATCTCTTTCAGTAAATCCACTTTGTAAACTCAGTGGTAGGTTTTATTATCATATTATGAAAAAATGCATGCTTTTCTAAAAATCATTTTGATTCACTAGGTTTTAAAAAGAGTTACTACTACCCTTTGTTTTCTTAGCATTTTAATCTTTTCCAGAGATTTTTTCTACCAGTTTTCAATCTTTCTCTTTTAGTATTTGGAATAATTTGCTGCCAAGGAAGAGATTTCTCCTTGTTATTTGAATTTTTCTTTTTATTATGAAAATCATTTTGAGATCCAACAATTGCAATAAATTTCAGCTAAACCTTTCAGTCTTCATTAAATAAAATAAATTAAATGCAATTGTGCTTTCTCAGTGGTGATTTCTTAAGACAATTATTGTTTTGCTTCCATATCTTTATTAAATTCTAAACAATAATGAAGATGACTTAATGGTATATTGTGCACCCTGTAGTACTCAGGTTGATTACCTCCTATCACTGATACCCCTCACACTATTTTAAAAAACCTGTCTTCGAGAAAACAATACTGGTTCTGTGTCTTGCATGTTGATAATCATTTCCTGTTTTATTAACCATTCAATATTTTTTTATTCAGACAAGATATCGTGTATAGTATCCTAGCAAGTTTTCCATTAAATCAGCAAGAGTGGATCATGGCTTATAAATAATGACACTGCTTACTTACCAAGTGCTGACGTAGATTGTTAAGGCTTTAGCCTGTTGTGTATTGAAGAAATCTAAACCAGCCGACTTAATTTCCTGATACTCTGGATCAATCCCAATTAACATTTTCTTAAATTCTTTCAAGTTGTCTACCATTGCCATATGTTGTTCTGTGAATTAAAAACAACATTACAGATGTAAGTTTTCATAATAACATGCAATGAAAACTTCATTTTAATAATTACTCTAGTTTCAGAGCCATAAAATCTAGACACTTTGGCCATAGAATTCCAAAACAGCCTACATATTTATATAGAAACAACATGTTTTCAGGTGTAACTTTAATGATAATATTGTAATGAATTAAAAAAAACCAATATTAATGACATTGTCTGGATGTCAAAAACACATCCACTCATCAATATGAATGCCTAGTTGAAGATTGAGGTTCTACGCTGTAGTTATAAAACCAAGTCTGCATTTACATGATATAAAAAAAAAATGTAATTTACATATTGATTTATAAAGTTCTTTTATCTATGTTCTCTTGAATGTATATCGATTTTCCTTCTCAAATACAAGTATACTTATTACATTGTTAATATCAGGTTATTGAGTCTGTACTAATTAAAAAGTGATTCACAGGGCTAATACATGGGCCTCTTTAGGAATATTTGAGGTCATTATAGTCTGTCTAGGTATCTTTCTCTGGGTCAATAGATATATTACTTTTACCTAACAGTAAGATTAATTCCAACATGATGTTTCACTCTTAACTTGAGTCAGGCTTACAACTGGTAATGAATCATGTACCTTAACAATTAGAGGTTTGATTTTTTCATTTCAAATTGATGATTTTTTTTTCATTCTTCTGTACCTGTTGTGACCAGCCAATCCCTAGTTCAAAACCAACTGATTATAACAGGTAGTTTTACTTTACAGTGTAGAAGTGTGGGACTACATTATATCAGTTACATGATGTAATTACCACTGGGAAGACATTTAAACTCTGTAGATTAACACTGAGATAAATCCAACAATTCTATTGAAAAGGATTTCTGAGTTTGTTTTGTCTGACATCCAGCTACATACAGGGAGTAAGGTAAACCTTACACACTGATAACAGATATGGATTATAAACATAACACTTGAAGTTGCTTATTATCTGCTGCATTCAATGTTGTATATGGTGTAAATGGATTCATTTTGTTAACAGCCATTTAACTGGTCTATGGAGTCTCGGCCCAAGCATGCTACTTGTCAAGAATGATGGCCCCTTGTCCCTTTTGGTTTGAAAGTGGAAAGGTGTTTGAAATGTTTTAATAAAGGACCTTTGGTATAGATTATGATAATTTATTTGAATCTTGATGCCTGTAGTCCCAGAATGCTGATCAATAACAAGGCCCTTGGCCTACACTGATAAATGAGAAGAAATTTGAAGATTTAAATACATAATATGATGCCAGTGATCTAAGATCAAAATCATTCTGATCTGTTTGAACAAACATTGAAGCCCTTCATCCCCTTTGGCCAGATATCATGATCCTAGACTTTATAGTTACTGACAATGGTTACCTTGACAGTTTGTCAAGGTCATTCCTTTGAATTTTAATTTTAGAGCCTTTTATCTTAGCAAGCTACTGGCAAAATATCATGACCCTCAGCCATTTGGTTACTGGCAACTCACACTGTGACATTCACACCAAAGTGAACTTGAAATTGTGCCAAGGTCATTCCTTTGAACAAACTGCTTAATAAATATGACCATTATTATATCCACACGAAAAAGTTGAGAGGTATAAACCTGACACTATCAGAGAGGGAAATTTTACACCATTATGATTATCCAACTCTGCATGAGGGGCACCGAGTGTGAAAATTTACCCAACATAACAAGAACAGAGAGACATATTAGACACCCACCTTTCACATTATCCAGTAGTGTGTGTATAACTGTGAAGAAGCCTGACAGTTGTTGAGGATGGAAGCCTTGTTCTTTACCCCACCACACAGCCCCAGTGTAGTAATCTAGCACTCCAGCATCACGCAGGTCTGTAGTGTAGTTGTGTAGTTTGAAAATATCACATAATGTTCTGGAAAATAAATGTACAACACCACTGAGTCTTGAAATCATGATTAATTTTTGTTGTGTTTTATCAGGGTTAACATCCTTGCAACAGCCACGGTCAAATGAGGGTGGGTGTCAAGAGGGACACCAACATACAGCATCATATGAGGATGGGTATAAAGAGGGACACTAACATACAGCATCATAAGAAGAGTCAAGGGAGACACCAACAGCCAGGGGCATGTGAGGATTGGTATAAAGAGGAACACTAACCGCCAATATCATAAGAAGACAGGTATCGAGGAAGACACTAATAGCCAGGGGCATGTGAGGATGGGTGTCATGGGAGACACCAACAGACAGGGTTATATGAGGATGGGGATCATGGGATACCAATAGATAGTGTCATATGAAGACAGATAGGTGTCAAGGGAGACACCAACAACCAGGGGCATGTGAGGATGGGTGTCATGGGAGACACCAACAGACAGGGTTATATGAGGACGGGGATCATTGGATACCAACAGATAGTGTCATATGAAGACAGGTGTCAAGGGGACATCATCAGTCGGGGCATGTGAGGATGGGTGTCAAGAGGGACACCAACAGTCAGGGTCAAATGAGGATAGATTTCAAGAGGGACACAAACAGCAAGGGTCATATGAAGATAGGTGTCAATGGAAACACCAACAGCCAGGACCATACAAGGATGGGTATCTAGAGGGACAATAAGAATGGAAAATAGAATGTAGAGAAAGGCTGACAGGAAAGAAATATTGAAATTACTAAATAATGTCTAAAATTAGCAAAGAAACCTAGACTTACATTTGTATTTCATCAACATCTTGCCCAAGAAGTGTTTTGCATTGATCTTCTGATAGAATTTTGTATGCAAAGCTTCCTTCTTTCTCATCAGCTTCATCATCCTGAAAAAGAAGTAATATATATATATAACTATCAGGTATGTTACTGTTGTAAAGGTGACCAATCATGTTTTGAATAAATGAAGTTTATAATGCATCCTATTAGAACATGTGTATTCAGAAGTGTTAATGTCTGTAAACAAAACTCTGTTTCACAGAGTGAACCACTTATAATTACACAACAATTAGCTGAACATTCCAAGTCCATCAGATTGTCAGCAGTGACTACGACACACTCAACACTATCACTGAGCAAAACAGTGTGTGACATGACGTAATTTACAGTAAATGTGACAGCTATCTCAGCACTGCAGTTATTAAATATAACTTTTTGAATGAAGAAAATAATCTTAGTCTGGCACTGAACATCAGCAGAATTAAGTCAAAATGCATGTTTACCCCAATGACTATACACTTGACTGCTGAAACACAAACCTTTTTTTATTTCGTGACACCAGTGAATGCCAACAATTTGAAAGAAATGTATTGACTGAAATGTGATATACTGCATTTGTACAACAACATCTTTCAAACATTTCAATATACATTTTCTATCTGGTAAAAATTTTATATTGATGATGCTAGTACATTTATGGTATTACATACATTATATATTTATAAACATCAACATCAATCATTGATAGTCCCTATTTGTTCATTTTTGTTTAAATTCTTCTTTCCAGCCAACATCATAAAAAGGTCTTACAGTCAGATAACAAAGGATTCATAGACAATGACTTCACCATTATGAATGATTTATGTTATGAACAGCAACTACTTGCAATTTTATGATGTCAATGTTCATGAGTGTTTCACACTGTGAGAATTATGATTCTAAGCACTGAATCCATTCGGAATTCAGTTGTTTTGAAAATTGCTTATGATATTGTTCAAGTTTATATTCTTTTAAAATAAAAGTAAATAACTGTTGCATTATCTGAGAAGTGAATGAATATACTAGATTGCTGCTATCTACACCGACAACAGTAACAATATATTTCCTTTCATTTACCGACTGTTTATGTATCACTATTCAATCGCCTTTCTAAAATACAATATCATATTTATTATCTTTTTTTGTTTTCTGTCCTGATATATTTCACTTCTAATCAATACATATCTATAGCGGATGACCCAGACGTGGTTATTTAAGAATACAGCCGTATTATCTGAGTGCGTGTGGTCGCAGCACTGTCTAACGTTGTTTACAAATATTAACATCGCTCTATAACCAAAGTTAAATTGCCATTATTTAAGCTTAGCAGTGCTTACTCCTTCAAGGGTAACTTTTTTCTTATTTTTAGAGTCGCCTTTCGCCTGTGATGAATTGGAAAGGGAGCTTTTGCTCCCCTTTCCACCAACTTTTTGGCCTTTCGCCGCCATTTTGTTGCTATGTACGTTTTCACTTTCCTACTCTCTTGACTTGAAGAGTTCTAACTGTGTATGTATACTTACTTGCTTCTTTCCCTTGTCCTTTCCACGGGACTGAAAAAAAGAATTGAAATTAAAGTTTGCTTTAATGTCATAGATACACAATCATATAATTGGTTTGATAATTGCAGGAGGCGAATATATCTCATTCGTTTACCATAAATGATGCATAATATTTAAATATCAACAGGCTTAAAAATAAACATGATATACATATAGAGAGCCCATTTATGTAAGCTATATTATTACCTTGAAATTTTGAAGACGAGGGTAGCAGTACCCAAAATGGAACATTTAGTAAAATGCGTCAGTTTATATAATAAAAATGATAATAACATATAATTCAAAATTACTTTTACTTGTTTTATGAACATATCCGTGTCACCAATGGTTTTAGTAACTGTACGTCTATTTCCCAGGATTTCCTTTTGTTTACAATGGCTGCATCAATATAACCTTATGAATAATTGTCTGCTTTAAATTTCGTTATAATAGGCATAGAATTTTTTTACTTGGATTGCAAAATATGCGTCAAATTTACGAAAAATATTTCAGTTTTGCAGGACTATAGTTTTTCCTCTCCGTCCACTATTACTACTATAGTTTCTTCATTACTTACCTGATTTTTACAAATTTTACACACTTATAACAAACTTGTACAAATGACACTAACGAATTATTACACGTTGGTGATGATACTGTGTTAATTAGCGATACCCACGATGCTTGTATAGATGATGATGAGGAAGTGGGATATTTACAAGAATGGGCGAGTATCACACTACTAGGCAGAGGAGTTGACATATTGATAGGGAAGTGAAAGTATTACAAAACGAAACAGACATAAAAAAAAATCAAGATTATCGCGTGGTCGGGAAGGTAGGGGGTCACCTGACCGAACACGTGGATTTTTTATGGGCATTCCGGTTTCTTCTATCAATAATAACGCTTGCGCGCCTACATCCAGGCTAACAAGAATCATTAGTATAAATTAAATTTACCTGGTTAACAATTATTGTAAAATAATAAGTTGAAGTATACGTAGTCAGAGCATTGCCTGACAAGTAAAAGTATTATAACAGTGGTAGCTGACAAGGAGTCAGTATAGTGACAGGAAAGTGGAAAAATTGAAAATTACAATAGGTACTTAACTGGGAAGTCAGATATTACAAATACATAGCGGACAGTGAAATTAAGAGTATTGACAGAAATCCGACTTTATCTCAGTACGTCACCTGATGAGGTCGGAGTGTTGACAGGAAAGTGGAAATATTACACAATGGACCTGACAGGAAATTCAGAATAAGGACAATAGGTGTGATACCGGAAAGTGTGACAGTAGTACCTGATAAGAATAGATAGAGTATCGACAGGAAAGTGATATTTTAACGCTGCATTTCCGGAAATAAATTCAAGCCTAATATAAGCAGAAACAAATCCTTTTTTCAATCAATAAAACATATTTGATTCATCCTCTATGGTTTGCCGTAGATGAGGAATCCGTATAGCAACGAGAGTTCGTTAACACCTGTTTAATACCAAGTGAAATGTAATCCCGTATCGATATAATGAAATAGGTATTAACTGTTCAATCAATGCGAGAGAGAGAGAGAGAGAGAGAGAGAGAGAGAGAGAGAGAGAGAGAGAGAGAGAGAGAGAGAGAGAGAGAGAGAGGAGGGGTGTCTTAGTAGGTATCTTGTATTAAAGTATAGCTTATCATGTCACTCGAGACACGCAAGGGAAAATCACGAAAATCTAATATTATGATATTAAATACAATGTTTTTTATAAGTCTATAATGACGGACAAAGTCTATCGTTCTACAAATCAGCATTACAATATTCCATACACATCTCATAACATTAATCTCCCAAAACACATATATTACCTTTCCGCGTTTCGACATGTTCGTTGAACGATATTTAATCACTCTGTGGAAACAAATCTGTGAATAATGATAAAATCCAAACAGCTAACCAAGTTAGGGTCACCACATGTCAACTTCTGTAACACAAAATACACGATATGGTTTCAGGTGAAACGCGTTACAAAAAAAATCGCAGTCAAAAATCAATTTAACACAAAACAAAGTTTGCTATGTCCAATGCATAGTCGATGAGGTACATAACAGAAAGTTAATCCTATATACATCTGGATTTACCTGCAAAGGTAGTAATAATACCGTCCTATAATCCCGTCCTAATAATACGGAAGATAGATCGTCCGTTACCAGGCGATTCTACATCAAAGAATATAGACCAATCGACAACGATAAAGATTATTTACCTACACCAGCCAATACCTATGATATGTTTAAGCCGGAATAGGTATATCACCCAGGTCGGTAGTAAATAGTGTCCGCATGAGTTAACGGCAGTATTCAATTAAATCACATCGGCCAGCACCTGCCAATGACCCGCTTTATGTGCTCAAAAGACGCTATAAATTGAAGTTATTAACATTTAGTAAAATTAAAGGTATTCAGACGGTATGTCTTTTCTATTTTTATTGTATTTCAGACTGTTGAAATTAATCTAAACATTAATTTTGTTCATGTCTTACCGTAATCCCGAGCTGTTGTGTATATTGTTCGTGGCCGGTTCTAAAGGAGGCACTGGCGTGTTAAGATAATGACGGTAATGAATGGAGTAGGCTTGATACATATCGGTTTTCTAGTAGGACAATTGAATATGCTAATACGACCATTGTGAGCCCTTTTACACCAAGTATAATTAAACACGGACAAGGATCGTTTCAATATACATAATGATTATTTTACTAATGCTGGATTTGAAACAATTTAATGTTGACACGATCTTGTATGTAATACACACCGTATATCCGCACCAAGGGCCCACACCAAAAGCAGTCTCAAAAGTGGACATGTGTACTTTTGTATGATTGATATATTTGAGAGTTGATAGATACGGTTTGATGGTTTAGGATCTATTAAGAAAAAGATGGACAAGAGGAATCTGTGGGGAAGGACGTTTTGATTAAGTACTCCTTCTCAGTTTTAATTCACACATACTTGTATATTTTTCGGAAAACTGTACAAAAATTCAAGACCTTCTTGTAACAACACACAGCACATAATATGTAATGTCCCAATGAACTTCTCGAGTTCATATCAAATATCAAATACCATTTTTGTTCTCCAGTGCAAGGTTGGTCTGAGCATAAAGGAGCACGCCATTTGTTATGGTGAACCAGTTTCCGTACAGTGTATGATCTTATGTACTGGATTCCACTACCTTCAAGGAATTTTCGCAAGAGTTATTGCCCCTTTAGTTGCAAATCGGGCGTAGTTTACAACTCTTATGACCTCCCGTCAAAATCCGGAATGGAGCTCCTTGTCTCATCTTACGATGGCAATTGATGAATTAAGAAGCAAGCTGAACGAACTTTTTACAACAGTCAGCACTGTGTATACACTGTACGTTCAGTCCTAACTCTCTCTACTTTCCATCACCTCTTCCTATCCTTCTTTTGATACACCGATTTAAACAAAATACATATGTAAAATTGATTGGAAAAGTCAATGGCAAGACATCACCGTGCGACAGGCTGATTGGAACCCTCTTTTTAATATGAATAGAATATCTGTTTATATTCACCTGGTGTGTGGATCGAAAATATCTAAATAAACTTGAAACTATGAAATATTTCTATCAAAGCTTATAATCAATTTCTAATGTTAAAATGTCGACTTAAGTAGGCTAAAGTGGTACCAACTAATATATATCATGTGCTATTTTTATTGATAATTTACAATTTCCTGGTATCCGACGAATATGAAGAACAATATCAACCCTATCTACTTCCGGTTTTTGGCAAATGTTTAGTCAATAAAACTCTTTCACTTTCATTATTATAATATGACATCCCAAACGTTGTTACAGTTTATTTGATATAGATGAAGCCCTCTTGAAATAATCCGTATGGAAAACATATCACACAAGTTTAAATGAAATCTTGACTGGATGGAATGCCGAGGTGACTTATTCCACTGAACACTACATTGTACCAAAATGTCTGAGCCCGTTGTTCAAGCCCAAAGATAATTTTGTGTGTGATAGAAGAATTTAACGCCTGATATGTGATATCCATCTTTATAGCATTTTTTTCACAGTTATGAAATGCATCGACACACATTTCTAAATCCTACTGCATTGATTTAAAAAAAATAATTGTTCATTGCTATCGAAATTTCAAACCTGTCTTTAATGTTCATCTGAAATGGTTTCGAAGCTATTTATTGAAAGCTGTACATAATGTAAGCGCTGATCAAATAATGGACTCACTAAATCTCTTGATCTGTTGTTGAAAAAACTTTTAAACATAACGATAATATGCATGGAATCTGTAGTCCGTGCCACATGACTTTTAACGTTATATTATTTGTTTGTTTGTTGACACCGTAAAAAAAACAAAAAAAAACTTCACAATAACACAAACATTCTAAAATCTTATATACTCACAGGGTATGTGTTTTTGAATTGTTCTACAGGTTAAATCACGGCCAACCGGCGCGTCCAAACATCCTATCTGTGTCTTTGACAAAAGCTCCGATCATGCATGTATATTCTCCACGATACAACACTGATATTGATGACGTAGTGTTTCATGAAGTATGACGTAACATTCATCACGGAGGACAGGGAAGACCACTCGGGCTTTGCCGTCATTCTTAGGAAATACGCTACTGACAGAAAAAGCTTGAGTGGGATTTCGATTGTTAATCACAAATTTGTTTCTAGCTTCTCCCCCGGCTTCGCATCGAAAATAGTCCTGCGAAATATTAAAGTTTCAACAAACAGCCTAGCGGAGAAAATTGTACTAAGGTAGGTAATCCAGTCTGACAGGGATGAAATCTCAATATCTCTCGGAGTAGGTGGGGCCGACTGAATTCCGAATATGGTCGAAAATTTCCCTGAGGACGTCACCCTGACTTTTCAAACAAACGATTCACCTATTCAGTGCTAAGTGTTGGTTAAAAGTTTCTAAAAGTTTATTTATTTTTATTTGATGCAATCATCTGACCCTCCTCAGTGACTTCATTCATTATAGCCCTTCAGAGAGCCCAGTGTTCGCTATTATATTTAGCATAGTAATACTACGTGTACCAAAGACTCAGTTTGATAATATTTTATTGGCAAGATAAACAAATTGATTGGGCATAAGGCAAAAGAACATTATTAGCGCCCTGTCCTATGAATACAAGTACTTGTACACCATACACACATATGTAACATAAGATAGCTTAACTAAATTCAATTTTACACACGAGAGAAATAGAGAGCTCTGTATTCATGTGTAAAATAGTACAACTGACAAGATGACAATGAAAATAAAGAGTAGTGGTGGGAAGGAGACATGAGGTCATGGCCGAGTTAAAACTCGATCGGAAGTGTTGGACATGTTTAAATAACTCTGTAAGTTTGGGACAAAAAACTGTGAAGGTTTCGGAACATTTTTAATCTTTGTCCATTAAATCTATGACATATGAAAAAGAAATGATAAACATTTTCATTAGAACAACCTTATGTAAGATTTGGATAGTTGATAATTTCAACATTAAACATATCATCATTTAAAGTGCTGCAATTATGGCGGGAGTCCGGTTAGTAAAATGTTTAATATTCGATCAAGTGATAATCAGATATTTTGAAAAAAATCGTTTTGGTTTTGAAGGCAATTATTGAAACTCGTGTAGGAAGGTGTATATTTTTGGTATTAGAGTCAAGTGCATTCCGTGACCTTAAAACGGAAGGGCTAAATGAGTGGATAAATGAGTACAGTGGAACAAAAGACTTGAAGGGAGACACAAGATTACTGTAACATATACACATGACTATAGATTTTTGTTCGTATTTTCAGACCATGTTCATTGCAGAGGTACATAGTTTACATTGAATTTTGCATCATTAAAAGTGAACATGTACAAGTAGACCTGCAGCTTCCCTCTGTGTTAACATTTTGTTCCGAATGATAATTACATTTATGCATTGTTTTTAATGAATATTGATAAACTGTAAGACTGAGGACCACGTTATGTTATCACAGGACCATGTTCTGTAAATACAAGACACGTATTGATAATACAGGACCACGTTTTCTACATACAGGTCTACCCACTGTACACACAAGAACGGGTGCGGTACATGGACCATGGATATAAACACAGGATCACGTGCTCTTAACACAGGACCAGGTACTGTAGAGACAGGGTCACATACTGTAATACAAGACCACGTCATGTACACACTGGACCACTTGTTGTACGCACAGTACAGAGTTCTATACACACAAGGTCAATTAATGTACACATAAGACAACGTGCTGTTGTAAACTCAGGTCCACGTACTGTACACACAAGGCCACGTACTCTACAGGAGCACTCCACGGACACTCAACATCACACATTGCACACTTCACTTCACGAGCTGTGCATACAGGACTCGCAACAGGGACACAGCTGCATATACATACAAGCGGGAAAAGTAAGGGATACGGTGTTGGAATTAATTTCTTTTTGATCTGTGTACCGACAGAGACACGATTGCGTAATAAGATAAACAAATGAGTCATAAAAGGGGGAAATTACATGTAAGTTAAAATAAACAATATTGTACATGGTTAAATGACATTTCTCTTTGTTCCATTCTGAGTAATGAATACTCCTAGAAACTGGCATGAATGTCAAACTTATATATTGTTACCAGTACAGAGAGGTTTTTACTGCTGTGAGAAAACAATTTCTGACCAAAACACTGCCGTGAGGATTAATATCTCTCGACAAGCACACCGCAGTGAGGATTCAGCTTCCGACTAAAACACTGCCGTGACGATTAGGCTTCCGACTAAAACACTGCCGTGAGGATTCTGCTTCCGACTAAAACACTGCTGTGAAGATTCGGCTTCCGACTAAAACGCTGCCGTGAGGATTCGGCTTCCGACTAAAACACTGCTGTGAAGATTCGGCTTCCGACTAAAACACAGCCGTGAGGATTCGGCTTCCGACTAAAACACTGCTGTGAAGATTCGGCTTCCGACTAAAACACTGCCGTGAGGATTCGGCTTCTGACTAAAACACTGCTGTGAAGATTCGGCTTCCGACTAAAACACTGCCGTGAAGATTCGGCTTCCGACTAAAACACAGCCGTGAGGATTCGGCTTCCGAATAAAACACAGCCGTGAGGATTTAAAATTTGACTTATATACTTCATCTGTGGTTGGGATTCAATTTTCGACTAAATACGCCGCACTGTAGATTTATCTGCAACTTATAACCCTTGTAAACGTAACATCTGTCAAGTGAGGTTGTTCTCTTTAACTTTGTACTTAACTATCAAGACTTCTGGAAAAATACCTTGTTTACACAGGTTATTACTGCGTAACGACCTCATGACGCGGCAACCTTACAGAAACAGTATAACCTTAGAATATCCTCTCTGACACAGTGTGACTGTTTGCCATATTTGTTAGTTCTGCTCACTTGTCCTAACAACTGAAATTGATTGTGGTTGTCAACTAGAACTGTCGCTTCTAAAAGAGCGTTCCCGGGAATGGTTTCTAAAAGTACTAAATACCTTTCCTCCTGTTTCTCAGGCTCCTCAAAAAACTGTCGAAAGGTGAAAAATTCAACATCTCCATTGGCTTTAAGGCCAAGATCAATCTTTTCGGCGTGTTTAATTTCCCTTAATGATATTACTTCACAAAGATCACTACGTACATTTAGAATGGTGTTTATTTCATCAACTACAAATGAAGCTATCTTGAGTACTAGCGGCAAAGTGACTGACACTTCTTCAGAGCTGTAACATGCACAGTAGTGTTCAGGAACTCCTGCCTGTGCGCAGGACCGGGATTCTGGGATGGGTGAAAAAAGGCTGATTCCCCTAGCTGACGGCGGTACTCCAGATTTAGAATCGAAGTTGGAATTCATGATATCGAGTAATGTTTCATAGAAATCATAATGAGTCGTTAAACGTTGTGTATTGTCTTCCATATGTTGCACAAGTGATGGGTATCTATCCCGAATCTTACGCGGTAGCGCGATGTGCAGAAGCGGCATCCTCTCTTCTATCCGACCAATGTAAGTGTTACGAATAGAATCTATCCGCGATCCATGGTCGCTTAAAAATACAACAAACGAATTATCTAAATGCCCTTTCTCATTGATCCACCTGAAAAAGTCTTTAAAATCATCATCCCCCAACTCCAGGAAGTTAACATAGTCATGACTGATTTCGTTCAGCCAAGTGAAACTGAACCGCAGCTTGTGATTATACCGTCTGATAAATTCTCTAGTGTGATTCAAGGATAGAACATGTTTTGGTGTGTTTCCGTAGCACAAAGTGGATGTCTTTTTCAGACCTAATTTTTTATCTTCGAAACCTATTAAAGCAGAGTTGATGAGAGTGCCTAGTAAGTCAACTTTTTTAATTCCTCGCCAGTAGGGACGCATGTAATGGTCAGTTGGCTGTTTTAAAAAACCTGCTTTACCCAAGTTAAACATATTGATATCTGCGTAGTCCTCCGAAAAAAGAGTGGCATACCCAGCTTTAGCCAAGTCATACCACACGAAGGGATAACCGTCAAAATGAACTGAAGTGACGTCCTCGGTTGGAAGTTCGTTCGAAAACGCCTTTTTCCCGGTCAGCATTGATACGACATTAGGGAAAGTGTTATCAGCTACTTTCATGTAACCTTTGAACTCAAATGATTTCATTTCATTCCGGAGGTAGGAGATCGTTTTTGGTAGCTTTCGTATAGCTGCTGATCTGGAGACTGCATCAACACCAAGAATCAAAATGCTGAACTTGTCATCCATTTCTCGCTGTATATGTCGAGTTTCCTGTACAGTCTTCGAATCAATCTGATAATGCATGACGTCGTAAATGTTTCTAGAATCAGAATCTTGACATTTAACCCGGAAGTAATCTCCGATTACTCTTGTAGGTTCTTTGAGTATAACTTCCGGTCCAAAGTCCACATAGTCATCGTTTCCCTTTTGCCTACTAACAACACTGTAAGTGCATGCGAGTCCCACCAAATTGTTCAGTTGTAAGGCTGTATCGTTGTACTGAAGCAATCCATCGTCACTCACAAACACAAGCGTTGGATTGTCATCACATTTGATTTTATTCGGATGCCACTCAAATTTTTTTATAGATCTATCAAAAGGATTAAGATCTGGTATAATGCATTTTACGTCAACGTTTTCATTTGTGAAAGTAAATCTCGGAGTAACGGTGTATTTTGACGTCATATACATAACTAACAGAATGGTAAATGTTAGTATTGCCAATTTTCGGTTCCGCTTCTGAACTTTCCGGTTTCCCGCCATTAATTTCTTCATATTGTCGTAGACAGATAGCCACACAACGTAAATATATTGAAGGATGATGTAAGGGATATCAAGAAATATATACCCGTTTGGGGAAGATTGCATCATTCGGACATCACAGACGGTCAGCTCTCACTGAGACAGCTTTTCACGGAAGCTGGTCGATACACACGAGACAGGGCCAGAAACTCATGTCAACAAAACCTGGAAAATAAATAGCAGAATGTAATTCAAACAAAGTAAACATAGCTTTATCACTACATGCGCATGCTGTATCGATCAAACTCGGAATAAAAAAAATAATGTAATCGGGTTAGAATGTACGTGTATATGCATAATTATCATATAACAAGTACAGGAGAGAGAAGTGTAATCTCCACAGAATTCTGATATCGTATTGAACTGATGTTAGATTTTTTTAAAAATTGATAGAGCGTTCTTATCAAATTACTCGTTTAAATGTAAGTTGTGTATATAAACCAGTGATGATGATAAAGCTTACCAGAATGGATGTGACTATCGACCTAACCTGACGATTTAACTGAGCAACACATGTTGAATACTAGTAAACAATGTACAAATTCTGATAAATAAGGAAGGGAGTTTAATTCTAGTAAATACAACTACAATTGTATCATGTTACGGAAATTAGATAAAACAATGCACGCTCGACAAAGTGGAAGTGTCTTTGTATGCTGGCAAAATCGGTGAGTACACCGGTAGAGATATTTGGCAATGCAAGCTGAGATTGGACTTACAAAGGTCAGGTTTACTGTTACAAAAATAATGTCTAATAGAACTCATTATAGCAAACAAAACTGTGCCAGATATATATAACAAAAGAATCCATTTTATAATTTGGTTGTGACATCTAAATTGTTTGGAGCCCGGTGTTGGTAGTTATACAAAGGCATGTGCCATATGTTCCTAACACCACATGTTAACTTTTGCCCTAAATACACATGGATGGGAGTCTATATGTGTTACATCTTTGACCAGATACATGCACCTCTTTCTTATTTATTTCCACTGAAAAATCTACTACTGTTTTCGGTCCGATTATATCATAGGCATATGACGAACTCCCCAAATACAGTTTTGTATGAAAAGGTCAAGATTATAAGATCTGTTCTTACTGGCCTCCATCAGAGAGAGAATGGATTATTCTCCTACATAACAAAGGGGATGGGGCATACGATTATAAGGCGACTAGTGATGTACAATATAGTTAAATCCTTTCATGGTGAAACCGACCTTGATGTTAGGTCCTATTGTGATTTCCTGAAATCCTAATTTATTTGTCTAATCTTGATCCTGTCTTTTCATTGTTTCATCCTAAAACAATTTGTTTATCTTAGTTAAAAAGTTCATTAAGACAATGATAATTGAAATGACCTTGAACATCAATGAAAGCATCCGTATGACGGTCAAGTTGTATTCGATTATTAGGAACCACGTGAGTAATTAAGCTGTAATTGTAAACCTTAGCAGTAGATGATTGAGAAAGATGTACATATATATATCATGAACAGTAAGCTATAGTAAATTTGAAATAACGTGTATTTAGGTGTGTTTTTTTCTTCAGTATAACAATAAATTTTCTTTTCTCATTCTGACTAAGGTTTGAGTATGGGAGGCTTACACATTATGCTTTGATTGACTTACCTCTAAAATTTGGAAACATCTATTATTAACAAAGTAGTGTGCTTCACACTTTGATAATTAAATCTTTTTATAAGAATATCATCATAGTAAAACTGCTGTTTAAACTTCTGCATGGTGTATGCATGTAAATATTGACATTATCTGAATTGTTATCCATACAGGAACTGATTTATAATGATACATTTGGATGATTTCGTCAACTGAATTGTTAGTATTACTGATGTGATACCACGCATAACATGAATATTGCGTTGTTATCTAATTCAAATCTACAACAATTTTATAGTGATATATTGATTGAAATGTTCATTTGCGTACAACAGGATACTAATATCAATAATTTTCTCCCATTACTAACATCAGGTAAATCAACACGGAGCTTTCCGGAACATTCAAACTATTCTGTGCCATCCGAGCATTCAAGTTTCCACTTATCTTTACCCTCACTATTTATTTGTATGGAGAATTATGCTAAATCATAATTACTTCATCTAAAATATGGTTGTTTATAGCTGCCGTTAAGCGCTCTAAAATTGCGATTTTGTTACAAATAATGAGGTATGGAAGCATATTTTTTTTCAGTTATTCTGTTGCATTTTAAAACAAAATGTTTTGATAGAATTGCATAGATATGCTAATATTTTGATAAGATACTGACTACAATAATCACATTTAGAGAATTTTTGGTCTCATTTTAATTAATATGTTTAAAAAATATTCCGACCAATGTGTGTTATGATCCTCTCTACCTCTTTGTATTTACACAGGAAATGAGGTGAAGAGGAAATAACTAGACATTCAAATGTCCGATTGTGTTTGTACTTATCGGCCACCAGGACAACTAACCACACCCGAAAAAAAAACATGAAAATTTAATTATATATATCTACTTCAAGTAGTTGACATATGTACATGTAATTATACAATATTCTGATCATGTTCTTCATCATTATTTGAAAAATGCAATTGCGACCATAACAAAAAACAAAAACAAAAAATGAAATAAATCGAAAACTGGGAAAATCAACTGAAATCAAAACTTCTGAAAATTATTCTGTCTTCCAAACTTAGTTATCTATCTAGATATCTAAAACTGGTATTCAATAAGGCTTGCATTTGCATTTAGAACGCTTATTCAATAGTTCAGAATTTGCAAAATTTCTTTTCATTCAATGATTCACGAGTGAAACTGTTTGTTAACACAAAGTTAGGGTTTTTCATAAATTTCAAATTTTGGTTGCTATGACAACATTAAATTGTTTAAGATGCGGAAAGAAATCATTGTCCTTTAAAATTCAACAAATCATTTGTTTCATTTCTCCACTATATACTGCTATATATTCAGGTAATTGTCCAAACTATTAATTCTGTAACACAAAGTTTTTCAATTGCAATGAAATATAGGCAGACAGAAACGATATTAATTATTGTTACAACATGACATTTTCTAAAAACCCGTTGGTAACCAAGGTAGCAACCGAGAATCAATAAAATTTATTGCATATGTCTATGACAAAGTTCCTCCTCTAGCAGTACGAAATACTGAGAAGTGTCTAAATGTTCTTTACATTCACTTCTAACATCTAAAAACCGCTGCTTGTTTCTTAGTATAGAGTGGTTGCTTATCAACACATTACTGGGAAAGTGTGAGAATTCATGTGGAAGCAAATTTACAGATTTTCTTCAATTACATTTAAAAATGCTGTGAGTAAAGTTTAAAACGACTTTTTGAGTCTGGTAAGTAGTATGTGGCCCGGGTTGCTCAAAGGTTACTTTGAATAAACACTGGTTATTGGATAATTCATACTGTCAACAATTAGAATATAAAAAATGACCTGTCTCAACAAATCTACAGCTGTAAAATAATCAAGAGTCTCTTTTAATTTTGTTAGATTTAATTTGCAATTTTTCCTTAACTACTGGCTATCTCTAACCAGCCTGTAAACAACTGGAGCTTGATATTAACTGCTTTTGAGATCCGCCTAGGATTCCTCTACCGATACATCTACCAACTAGTACCACTCACAGGACGTTGGCCTCCTTCACCTCTTTTTAGTTTTCCTGCTTTCGAGTTTGTTTAAATAAATGGATTGACATACATTCAAAGCCACAAGGCTAAACTGACTATTCCAAGAAGACGAATACAACTGTATGCTGTAGTTGAATTCATGCTTGAGAAAACGGCTGGAAGACAGTGCTGGTGGTCACCAAGGTTTGCCATAACCATCAGGCCACGTTTTATCAAATTCGAATAGTGACACAACTGAAAATAAACACTTGCACTTGACGTTGTTCTAAAACTATCTGAAATTTATTTGATTTTGGGACTACTGCACTTCTCCGTCTAGATTTTGACTTTTTTTTCGATCACTTTGGAATTTCCATAGACGCCTCATAGGCTTGAAAAAGGGCCCTTAGCATCACTAACGAGTCTTAGAAGGACGAAACCACTGTATGATGCAGTTTAATTCATTTTAGCGCTACTGTAGGTAACTCTAAATTGGTATTAAAAGGTGCTGTTCGCTTGTGTGTTTGTTGTAGAATATTAGATATGTTTAAATGTTTTAAACAAATGTCATAATAAGCAAATTTTCCATGGTAATGATGATTGGCCAGTAGCCTTCTACAATGATATAGGACTGTGTGTCGATAGGTTTAAGGACTAAACGCTGTTACCTCACTTCTACAATATCACAGGACTGTGTGTCGACGTATTTAGGGAGTAAACGCTGTTTCCTCCCTTGTACAATATCAAAGGACTGTGTGTCGATAGGTTTAATGACTAAACGCGGTTACCTCACTTTTACAATATCACAGGACTATGTGTCGACGTATTTAGGGAGAAAACGCTGTTTCCTCCCTTCTACAATATTACAGGACTGTGTGTGTTTTGGAGAAACTAGTTAATACCGATCACTTCATTGCCTGCTTATGTTTATATCATTCCATCTAGACTGAATATTCAGTTCAGTTTCTTTTTGAGTGATATGTAGTCGTTCTTACACAATAGTCTATGCACGATCTTAGAAACAAACACTTGCAAGCTCGGATACATACTTATCCAATCACACGCATTCACCCATTTGTACTCGCTGCCAAATACTTTATTATTACATCAATAATCAGTTGTTGTACTGGAGAGTGAAAGAACAATCACATTATTAACATCAAGAAATATATGTTATAGTGCTTTGGAAATTCGTTTAAATGCAATATGTAAGAATTTCCCTATTTTATTTAACATGGTTGACACTGAGCGACTTGAAAAGTTTAAAAATTTAAATATGCTAAATTTACAAATATAGTACGAACTCATGTATTTAATGCGCAAATCAGAATAAAATGAACTCTTCAAAATGGTTTAAAATTCATCTTCAATATCTTGATTAATACTCGTTTACAATTCAATTTCTTCATTAATAACAGTATATTTTTATTTGTTTGTACATTAAGTGTGACCACCATTCCGGAAGATAACGATTTTTGTCTTTTGTACATTAAGTGTAAACATCCATTTATCATTTCACGTTAGTAAAGCGTTTAACTTATATTGTGAGACACTTGGTGACTGTGTGAACAGAGTCATCGGCATACATAAGTGAATAGATGGACAATTTTCGTGTATGAAATTCATTCCACAATCATTAACATTACAGTCTGTCTAAACATTGGCATTACTGTGTTTTACAGGATATAATGGGTTTTTTACATTGGATAAGACAACACATTCAACTAGATCAGATGTGTTTACTTGATTTTTACATACGATATTTTCTGTCACATCGCTAGAAAAAGGAAAAAAACCTTGTGAATCCTGTCTATTTTAGCCATTCATATTTTAGTCAGTTTTCTATACTTACTATTATTGTCAATTTTACAATTTTGTCTCGATTCAAAATACAACTTTCTACTGACTGTTACATATATGTATATCATATAACAGATAATAATATCGAATGTGTTTCCTCTAATAAAGCGTGACTGGAAGTCGTTACTATTTTTGTACAGTTTTATGTACTTACAATTCTCTTTATATAAAAAAAACATGTTGCGTGTGTTTTGACAAAGGATTTTACATAATTCAAAAAATGTTTGAAAGGATAAAGATAAAAGGACAGTATTTCAGTGTAACAGCTCTTAGGCACGCATGGTCATCGGGATTTTTTATTTCGAAAATTTATTCAACGCTTACAATCAAAATGAGACCTGAAATCGGTTGTACCACTCCGGCTCCTAACACGACAACAGGGGAAAATAGAACATGTGCTGGTACACGCTAATGAGCGTGTAACGTAATATATATTTGTAGTGTGGCTAGGTCAGCACGTATACAAGGTCAAAGATAAGAACCTCACAACATGGAATACCACAGTGACTATAAAAACGGACTGATTTATTATCATATTGAACGATTAAGATAAAGTACGTGAATTATATTGACGTTAGATACAGGTTCATCAACACGATTTACCGTTTCATTGTGGTCACAGTTACCTGAACATACAGGAAGTGGATATATGTTTAAAAATAATTTGAATAAAGTCAAACTTGTTTCTAAAAGTAATCTGTTCACACATTTATGTTTTGACGGGGAAGTCGCTCTATCTATTGTTGTTCTTAAGTCCTCTGATAACCTGGCTAAAATGACACCTATGACAGATACACTGTAACTGATAAGTTTGTGTAGGACCTTACCTATTTGTCAATCTCGTCTCTTATTTGCATACATACGTTGGCTGTTGGAACAAGTACTACATTATCATGTGTGTAATAGGACGACTTAGGCAGTAGCAGTTTCTAATATTAACCTTGGCGCTATAGCGATCTGTTTTCCTAACCTCTCTTCTGGATTAAAAAGTATGAATAACAATCGTGTTGCCTCTATTGTAACAGCCAGAACATAGTATGTTCTATAGGATGCAAATTCAGGCATTATTCAATATAATACGATATCTATTATTAAATTTAAGTGTATTTACAAATTGCAGATAGTAATATGTAGCTACGCTAATATATATACACTTCGATGTAAAAGGAAACATCCTTAGGCCTTCACAAAAATACATTATCTACTCACTTGGCAATCAAAAAAGTAAGATAGTAGAATTTTAGTACATTTTACAATATCTTATTTATCATATTGTTGAGTTATGCAGAATTATTCTGTGTATTGTGTATTTCACAAAGATATTTCAGAAGTGTCGTTCATCATGATATTATATCATGCGACAAAATATAACCATTTGTATCGATGTTTAGATGTCGATTGATATTATAAGCAATAAACACATTAAATCGAATCAAATACTGTCACTACTGTTCTATAGAAATAGAAAAACAAACTATTTCTAGTTTTTCAGTGAAGCCTTGAAAATAGATGACATTGTCCCGACAAACATTTGAATACTATCCTCCTTTTGACTGTAAGCCTAACGTGCAATCCAAGGAAGATTTAGACGCGGAAACCTTACCTACATTGTCTCTTTTCTTTCATTTGTTAGTTAGTTGTTACAATGACCCTGATTATTTATCACAAAGATCCTGTACATAAATCTTGCCTTTCCCATACCACATTGTGATATTATTCGAATATATTTTCCCCAGATAAGTCGCTAAGAAGTTATAGATGAATTATTCATTTTATGAAGTCAGGTCACTTTTCTATCACCAGTAGTTTCAGTTTACGAGTCAGATTTCACAAAATGATACAGAGGACGGTCGTTGGAGTCGGGCAAGACGTAGAGATTGAGGTCAAGTGCAGACAACGAGTTTCTGTCCTATTCAACACACAGCATTCGAATTAAGTAATATACAAGGAAATAAAAGATCTTTAAAATACCACATGAATATTATTCCGGCTGATATAAATATTTAGGCAGCAAAGATATCATATTACTGACGATTCATCTACGTACATGGATACGCATATCCATGAATTTGAATGGTCTAGCTTATCAGTCATAACAGAATGTAGGGGAAACAAAAAGACAAACCATTAGTAATTAGAAGTTCAATATTTTCATATTGCAATCTTTTAAATGAAAAGCTATGTTTGAAATGAGAATATTTTAATTGATGACGATGTATTCTTCCCACTGAATTGATAAATGCACATTTTTCATGACGTGCCTGTCCTACCTGTAGACTGAGCAACAAGTGTGAGTAAGCGATATTACTGATAAGGTAAACGTATGCACCACACATGCCAACGTGATAGGCTACAGCATTCGAAATGGTTTATATATTATTAAATCATCAAATTTTCAGAGAAATCCTGCTGTAATTTCTCCGGAAAGAGATAAAAAAAACTTACTTTATCGACATGGCCTGTAATACTGCAGCATCTTATTGGTCAGCTGAGACACACCTAAATATATTCCTTCTCCCGACGCTAAGGGCATTCAGGGGATATCTCAAAAGTTTATATACTCAACAGTATATTGTTGTCGTATTATCACTCTGACGGAGCACTTAGCCGTATACTTCAACAAGGATACCTTATAGTGCCTTGGTGGGCTACACGAGGGAAAGTAATTACACTTTCTTCAAAAAATAAATAAATTTACATCAATGAATGAAATTGACCCAACTCATTGATTAATAACGTTATTTTAAGAAAAGGCAAACGTATCTCTCTGAAATATTACATTCTGATTTAGATAATTTTTATCGATAGGTAAATGATACAATTGTTACGAAGACCTTTTTGGCTTAAAGCTGTGTAATCTGGTGCTCAATGTCCTGAAAATTGGTAGAGCTTCTTACTATATCTCTAATGATCCTTGTTGGGCCGTATAGCAATTTGGGATGAGTACAAGACGGCTGACAGGCGACTACGTTGGGTTTTAAACATTCAATTAGCAATATCATTTCTTAGCTATATTAGTGAAGGGATATTCCGAGATTTTACTTGTAAGCTATTAATGTTCCCTTAATGTTTATACTGTATTCCGGGAATAATGCAAAATTAAGACGATGAAATTGCTAAATTCTGCGACTTTAAATATTGCCATTTCTCAGAAGCTCCTATAGGGATTTATTTTCTAATTTTACAAATGTACAAGTGGACCTCTACTATAGTTATCCGAAAAAAGAATATGGCTGCCAGATTTTTTGAGAGCTGTTGTTTATTGCTCATTAGTAATATAACAACAGTTTTTAAAAAATCATACCTATTGATGTATGTGCACCAATGTTGTTGGAAAGAACAATTTTGGTAAGATGACTTGGCTGTACCAGAAACACATTAGCGATTGCATTGTCTGTTTATGTGTTTTCAGAGAGAGGATTGTGCCAACTTTACCACCAGTGTCCTGTTTATACTAACAAAGGACAATTTCTCCCTAACTCTTTCTGCTCTAAGTGACGCTATTCCACCAAAACGGCCGAACCTTTCCGCATTTCTGTTCCGATGTAAATTCATATATTAATTATTTTAAACTGACCATTTTATTAGATTATAGCATTTTGTATCAAAGTCGCCAGGAGTCTGGTAGGGCTCGGCGCAGATTAGTGAAGAAGTGTATATATACTTTCTTAGTGTTTACCTCCAAAGTGTGAATAGTGGACTGACATTTTGGTAATCTTTACAACGTTTACAATTGAGGTATAGTACAATGGTGACTTTAGTCAATTTTCCTGTTTCCCGTAATTACAACCCGTGTTTATATTGCTACATACATATTAAATTTTTATTCATTTATATTTCCTTCCTAGGATTCATAATTTAGGCCCTTAGCATCACTAACGAGTCCTAGAAGAACGAAACAGCTGTATGATACTGTTGTATTCAGCATTTGACTCTGTAGTGTCAGCTTAACTGGTTTGAAAAGGTACTGTTGATTGTCTACAATTAGCATGATTATCTTGATGTGTATATTCTGCTTCAGAGGTCTTTCAAAGACTTGCTTCTAGATTCCTGTTGTATTATGATCTTTACCATGAAACCATTCTGAAAAGAACACTGAGTTAGTGAATGTGTCCACTCTTGAAGAGGGTTTAATGACCTTTGCAATAACTTCGTAAATATTCCACCGCCACTTCTGTATACACATAGCATTTATAAGTCACAATATATATGTTTAGAAAGCTTCAGAATATTTTCCGTATCGCTAGGTGGTTTCTTATGCGCAACGCTAGTGTTCCTGCACGTGGCGATTTGCTTCGTTACATTTTCTGCCTCCGTGGCTGTTTCTATAGAACGGCGTTGTCTTACCGACGAACGTCAAAGTCCTTGGGACGATTAGCGGTTTGTTTTCTTACATTTCCTGCCTCCGTGGCTGTTTCTATAGAGCGGCGTTGTCTTACCGACGAACGTCAAAGTTCTTGGGACGATTAGCGGTTTGTTTTCTTACATTTCCTGCCTCCGTGGCTGTTTCTATAGAGCGGCGTTGTCTTACCGACGAACGTCAATGTTCTTGGAACGAGTGGTGGTTTGCTTTATTCATAAATTTTCCGTACCGCTAGGTGTTGCCCTACATGAACGCTCAAGTAGTTGTAACGTGTGGACTATAAGAATACGAATCGGGTTATTATGAGAGCGGTCGTGTTTTAAGAAATGACGGCTTATTATCAGAAGACACATGCTCTTTATTTTGATTCGCAATGTAATAGTTCTAGCTCTTTATTATGATAAGTGATATTGGAATTTGACTTCATACACTTACATCTGTAACCTCATAGGTCTTTAGGGGACGAAAAAGAAATCACTATGGAAACTAGTATACTAAGTTGCAGGTACTCATTAGAAATAATTCTCTCCAGTTGTAACTTTAACATTTGCATATTTTCTCATCGACCTTGCTTTTCAGATAGCAAAGTAGCGTCTTAGATCGGTATCACTTTAAAAGGGATATAAACAAATATAAAAGTTATACTGCACTCCTTAAATCAATACTGAATCAAAGTATATTTCATGTTTTGAAACGACCCCCTATGGTTTTTACTTTATATCTCATAGGGGCACAAAATGGGTTGAAGACAATTTAAACAATTAGTTTATACATTATCAATGTGTTTCTATAGGGGTATATTGATGTATTTTATGTATAATGCATGTGCTCAATATGGTATATGGTATTTATATTAACATATTTACATATGCACACAGGTGCTTTGCTAATTTGTTTCTTTGATAAATAGCTGTTTAACCATACAGGTAAATGAGAAGACCAAGAGGCCAATTTTGTAGTACAATAAAATGCATAAAGTCATAATATGTATGACAAAGACACTTCACAGGAAACTACCGTTATACGATGCGAATGGCACGGTTTATGAAGCAATAAACACCACACACATGATCTGTCTGGTATATAATGAGCTGTTCTTTAAACATGCTTTCCATACAGTAACAAACAATTATGCAACCATGTTAGTTAAATAGTCAGTAAATTATATGACGGTATTGAATAACACTGAGAATAGAACACTAGCATCTAGGTTATCATTAATGAGTGAAAATGATTATGTCAGAATTAAGTCCACATGTCCCCTTAAAATGGAAGCAGTCATAGCCTCAAGATTATGTACCTCTTACAATGCAGTATCTTGACTGAAGCGTGAGTGATTGATTAGATTCTTTAATCCTCATGGTGTTTAGACGGGATATGGACTAAACAGCGGTTAACATAAAACGCATTAAAATTCAGTGTTTCGAGGCTAGTAGAGACCGCAGTTGAAAGACAGATTTAGATAAACTTTTAGTTCTAGCTACTGTAGCGTATGCTATTATGTTGACTTACAGTAAGATACCGACGTTATTTTGGAACAGTGTATACATTTGTTAATATCTCCAAAACCAAATTTTAGCAGTGATCACTTCACCCTGGTATCCTGCTCTTCAACAAATTCGTCTTTCTAAATTATTATGCAAACGTATTAGCAAAACCTAACTGCAAAAACATATACCTATAATATCCGGTTTCGATACCCGAAAAAAATTTCGTAGTGTCGCTATATGAAAGACAATTCAATTGTCGTTTAAATTGTATTTCTATAGAGAAAAAATATGTCCGTTATCCCGTTAACAAACTGGTTTTGGTGCCAGTTTCTTCATTTGTTTAGAATTTAGTCTGAAAATGTGTGATTAACCTTATTTTTGATACAAATGTTCTTTTTCGGTCTAATAATGATGCTATAGATTCAATTTATGGAAACAATATTTTTTAAAATTTTGATTTCAATATGTTGAATTTTTTCTATACATAATTTGCCATCTCTCGAGAGCAACCTAACTTGTGGTGTTTACCTGTCACAGTTAATTCGATATTCAAGGACCTGCTCTCAGTATCACGATTTTTCTGAAAGATGTTGACAAATGACAAACTCACAAGGGTTTCAAGAGATGCAGGTTCATGACAGTGATGTGGAGGTTTTACTGTTATCATAATGACATCTTTGGGAAATATTCGATTTCCTTATGTGATATGACATGAAGTTATACTTGTTTGATTCCTTTGTTATTTACCGTATTTTTATTTGAGAACGTGACATTATTTACTTGGATTGACCAAAATTTGCATGGCTGATATCGTCGTGGGAGCATAAAACTCTTACCCTTTCGGAACACGAGGTCTTACTCTCCTAATAGTAAGTAAATATTTCCTTTGTTCATAGTCTACCCTAGTTGTTTTGAATTTGAGTTTGGCTTAAGATTCTAATGACATGCTGGTATTTTTTTGTAATTGTCAGGTCTGTCTGTTTTGTTTCCTTCCAATTTTTGACATGTTTGTGAATTTTGATGCAATTTGCTTGTAAATAGTTTGGTTTTCAGTGTTCAAGAGTTTAGTCAGATATTGTTATTGTCCTATTTCTTACTATGGATATTCTTGTTGGATATAATAACTATGATATTAGTTCAGTGGGTTTTTTTTTTTCATTTATTTGATATATTTTGGGACTTAACTTTTTCGGTTTAATGTTTTGTGCAGGTTCCCGCAGCAGTTTACCTTTCAGACAAATAATGTGTTACGACCCCTTATGGCATGAAAATTCTTCTAAAGTGTGGATTCAGTTTTTTTTTTAATATATATTTTTTATATAAAGATAATACTTGCTTCCAGGTACTTTAAAATCAACCAAACAGATTTTTTAGATATTCAAAGAAAAAGATATTGTGCAGATTTATTCAGATAACAAATCAAGACGTCGAATTTAATGATGAAAAAGAAAATAATGTTGTAGAGTTTTGTATAAAGGTGATGATGTTTTGTTGCATGCAAAATGTTGATTTTAAAGAGAAAATGTATAAGGCTATTTAGATACCTATGTAGGGTGAAAATGATAATGTTTCCAATATTCCAATTGTAACAGAGGTCATTTTTCATCTCAATGCCTCCGCTAGGAATCGAACCCGGGATCCCTGGCTTACTAGTCTGACGC